GTCCTGGGTGCAGGCCTCACGTGCCCAGAAGGGCCCGCACACGGGACGCAGATGAGGTGTTAGCGGAACAAAGGGGCGAGCGGAGGGCACAGGCATCAGAGGAGCGCACCCCCTGGGAAGACGCCCCTGGCACTCCCCGACCTTGTGGCAGAGCCTCCGCATTTCCAGGAGGGGCCAGAAATTCAAGTGTGTAAACATCAGCAACGAATTAAAAGGGGCTTAAAAGGGCGTCTCTGAGCCAACCGCATTCCACTAGGTCAGTCTCTGGAGCCAGTGTAGACCCCGGCTACTCTCCCCTTAGCGACATCCTCAGGGCTGCGGTCGCTAGGCAACAGTCCTCCTGGTGGTTCATAGAAATATCCTCAGGTGCTGTGGAGGTCAGGCCGAGGGAGACCAGCTCATGGGGGATCCTGTGCCGTGTCTTTCTCCAGCTCATGGGGGATCCTGTGCCGTGTCTTTCTCCAGCTCATGGGGGATCCTGTGCCGTGTCTTTCTCCAGCTCATGGGGGATCCTGTCCCATGTCTTTCTCCAGCTCATGGGGGTCCTGTCCCATGTCTTTCTCCAGCTCATGGGGGATCCTGTCCCATGTCTTTCTCCAGCTCATGGGGGTCCTGTCCCATGTCTTTCTCCAGCTCATGGGGGTCCTGTCCCATGTCTTTCTCCAGCTCATGGGGGTCCTGTCCCATGTCTTTCTCCAGCTCATGGGGGATCCTGTCGCATGTTTGGCAAACAGCTCCGGGCACAGAGAACCTCTGCCCAGCAGCTGAGTAGGGCTCCCCGAAGAGCAGACATGGGTTGACTGCCCAGCGGGCTCTGTCCCGGGACCAGTGTGACTGTATTGAATAGTGGATGCGCCTGGAGCTGGTACATCGCTCGGCAGCCACCCCTGTGGGGGCAGCCGGCACCGGTCACGGAACCACAGCATCAACACTAGCGTTTTCCTAGACACTCGGATTTCCCTCGCCCAGTGCTTTCTCCACCGCGATGAGCGCTACTGAGTGTCTTTCTCCTGAGCGGGGCTGTGAGACGACAATGCAGCCGGGCCTCAGGCAGTGCTGTCGCTGGGGCTGGTTCCATGGCTGGGCTCCTGTTAGCTCCATTCTGCTTGGGTTTCCCTGTGGGTGGTCGGACCCGCGTTGCTGGGGCGTGGCTCACACTTCCTTCCCTGTTTCTAAGGCCTCAGGCCAGGTGGTGGGAGCTGCGTCAGAGAACTGGCAGGTGTGGGGAGACGGGCAAGAAAAATGAAAACTAAAACCTTGTTCAATGTTCTCCAACAGAAAAAGAATGAGCAGTTGTTTTTTAATCCGAGGTTTTTTATGGTATAATCATTGTCTCCTTTATTAACACACTTTATCTCTCCTCTGCTATGAGGTGGGAAACTCCTATACCTTCTCTTATCTCACACTAACGGTCATTAACACACAGACTTGCCTGGGCTCCTAGTCACTGCTAGAACCGCCGCCAGAGCTTCCCCGGCTCCCTGTGTGCTGCCAATCATAAAATGGGCTCCTTACTATTATTGTTATCAGTGTTAATACCTGCTTTTATTTTGTTGATATATTCAAAACCACTTGGCTGGATCTTTAGAAAATATTCAATGAAAAATTCTGCCCCCAGCCTGCCCCTTGCGTGGCTCTTCACCCCGCTCCCCTCCCCCCTCCCCCCCTTTCCTTCCCTGGGTGGGGGTGGGGGAGGTTCCCTCACATTGAGAAGAAATTCTGATAAGATTTTTTAACAATTTCATCAAAAATCTAAAATAAAACATGTACTTACCTAGTCACATGGCTTTCCTGCCTTGAGTTAAGTTGTGAATCGTTGAGGGGTTTTGTTTTCGCTGTCAGCATTTTCCCTCTTTTCTCCTGTCTCTCAGTCGGGAAGGGAAAGTCTCTACAGCCGTGTAGACATACCAGTTAGAATGCTCCCTCACATGTGAATTACGTTGCTCTATAGTTAATGAATTTTAGTTACTTAAAAATACAACTCGGGGTTTTAAACGCCATTTTACCTTATAAAATGGTAGCTGTGCTCATTTTTCCTCAGCAACTTCCTTTTCTTGAAGCAGATCCCACGCCCAAGCCTGTGTGATTTCAGAATCCTTACCCTGACCCTCCCCCGCTCCTGACCCGAGGGACCGCCAATCCCCGCCTGTCCTCGGAGACTTCGTGGCCCTTAAGTGAGCCTGGCCCCCCGCACAGAAGTGCCTGCCGTGGCAGGTGGCAGTTGCCCTGTGCCCCACAAATCATCATGTCCCTCCCGAGCCCCCCAAAAAGCTGGCCAGCATTTTATGTACAGGGGACGCCCCGACGAGGTGGCGAATGAAGCTGTCCACTCACTGGCTTCCTCTGTTCTTGTCACTGGAATAAATTCTGGGACGTAGGTTTTGCTTTTCAGTTTTGACAAATGCAGATCTTTCCACTGAGGAACAAAGAGCCAGTTCATTCTTTCTAGACAGAGAGCGGTCATTTACAGATGGAAATCGATGCCCTTGTGTGGCTTTATGTCAACAGTGTCAGAGGCAGAAATGCCATCAGGAGGGAATTATCAAACCAGTCCTAGTTACGGGACCATGAAGAGTCCTGAAATGATTTCAGTTTACATTTTAGGAGGAAAGAGTTAACAGTCTGTAATTCTTTCCTCTCCCTGTTTTGACCCTGACCAACCTCCTCCTAAATATGGGTGATGGGTTCACTGGATGGAAAATAAATGAGGCTCCGCAGGGCTCGCTGTGTCCCGATGGCCGCGCCTGCGGGGAGGCCTCTGCACGGTTTACGGTGTGAGTAATCCTGCAACCCCTGCATCTGCGGGCTTCGGCTGCAGGGCGGGATCACCGTTACATCAGCACCAAAGAGACCCCCAAACCCACGGAACTCGTCCTTCCGGGCAGCGAGCACATCCCATCCCGGGGACAGGGCCCGGAGCCCGTCTGCGCTGGGGTCCCGGTTACTTACAGAGGATGCCGCGCGCCCTGGGTCCTTGGAGCATCGTTCCTAGAGCCTGCATTGGACGCGGGGCCGCTGGCCGCTGTGGGCGCCTGTGCTCATGCCACTTGCACAGCGTTGCACTCTTTCTGCAGGTTCTGGGAGGCAGGTAGCTCCTGACTTCTTAGCACCGTTTAGGAGGGAACTTACGCTCTGGTGCTGACCGGAGTCGTGGGAAACGTGGAGGTGGACACTGCGCTTCGCTCTCAGTCTGTGTCAATGGCCCTTGGGGGACTCATTTATTTTGCAATTACCCAGCGCGCAGGGGACTCTGCACTGTGACACCAATCAGCTCCGCCCGGGTCCTTCTCTGTCATGGCTTCCCCTGAAACGCTGTGTGAGCTGCTGGAAGTAGGGGCACGTCCTCAGGGGAAAACCTGCCCGGATAAGAGTCTGACACCATGGTGGGTTCGGAACCTCGCCTTTCCACTCAGCGCTCTTTGGCGCTCTCTCTCTCGTGTTGGGTGGTACGGAAGGACCCCGGGAGAGGGGATGTGATTTATTTATGGGGGCTTGTCGGGCATACAGGGTGTCCCAAAACTACGCATGCACACTTTGAATAAGTATAGAGGCAGTGCTTATTAAAATACATTCCATTTTCAAAATGTAATCGGACCAGCTGCTAAGGGTGTACACATCTTTTTTGGGGACAGCCTGTATTTATATGGCTTGTAGTTAATAGTTATGCATAATGAATGCCAGGAATGAATAGAAATGGTTTTCTAGAATAATCCTACTACCCAGTGTTATGATAACAAGAAAGGTCTAAGACAGAGTTTACCAGGGCGTGTGTGTCTTTTGGGGCCTAGAACCTGAAACTTACGGAATGGGTGCATGAGAAGGAAGGTATAAAACATACAGAACCAGTCTGTGAGGAATTCTCACACATGTATAGTGAGCATATGAAAGAAGTCTGACAGAATTCTCCCTAGATTTAAAAGGATCTAAAACCTTAAAAATACTTACCAATAACAAGATGCAATTTTGAAACATCTCTAAGCTATTGATAATGAAAATATTTTTAATCTAATATGCTAGGGGGAAAAACTCACTCTTTCTATAGAAATTAAATTATAAAATTTCCTATGAAGAGGCACTCAGAAATGGCAGTCAAAAAATAAGCATGTGGAATAAAAGTATTACAGTAGTCCTTCAGAGAATTAGTAAAAACATGGATATTTTCCAGGATTTTCTGATTACTTTTGGTGTTGGTCTATTTCATAAATGAATACTTTCCTGTAGTATCTGTACTCATTTTAAATAGTACCTTCTGTCTTTTTTGTATTGGAGATTTTGTATTTTTCGTAGAGAAAGACCAAATTTTATGGACATCTGGCCCAGAATCCACCCATGCAGTGAAGTCAGTATTATTCTTCATGGTCTATGCATGAATAACTTATACATAGAATATGCTTTTTCTATTCCACTGAGCTTCCTTTTGTCTAGATTAAATCAATAATAAGGGAGAAAAAAATCCGATTCTAAGCAGAAGGCTGTAGCCATACATAAAATGCGTAGGAAATAGTTCTATTGAGTGCCAAATTCGAGGCTATTTTGTTTAAATGGACAGCTCTCCCAGCATAGATCAATATGCACAATAGTCTCTCTTATTGTTATTCATTTATTAAATTGTCTGAGGTAGGGAACCCCTCTTCATTAACAATATTATTTCAGGGGTGATTTAGAGACTCTGTTAAAAAAAAAGTTCTGAAAATACTTTTAATGCTGAAATTATTAATAAGTTAGAGACCTTGCAAAATGTTTAACTATGAGAAGTACCTTTGTTGAAACTTTAAATGTAACCTATTTTTATTTTGCAAATAGAGTATTACCATGTGGTGATACCATGTGGTGATCTGTTTTAGACAAGTGGAGATTTAAACAACTTTTCTGAGAAGGATAATATTGTTCTTCAAAAGTGTAAAACAATTCTAACCTGGCTGGTCAGCACACAGAACTGAAAGCCTTTTCTGCAGAAAGCGATTTGGAACCTATTTAAGAAAGAGAATGACCAGCCCAGGTAGACAAGACTTGAGTTTATTTATACGATTCATATCTCCCTTCTCCAAAGGACATTTACAAACTTAATTTCAAAAATAAAAGAACTTCTGAAGGACACACGTTCACGTTTTCATGTCAACATTACAGGTATGCACTTTTGTGATAAATTATTGGTTGGAAAGGGTCCAGTGGAATCTGGCATCAATTAACTTAACACTTCATATAAGCAATAATAAAACATTTATTTTCAAGTCTGACATATATTACTTAAAATAGATACAAAGTTCAATTTGTAATTTTTAAATTTTACTGCTATTTCAAGCTACCTGAAAGGAAATACCTTAGTGGGGAAAAAAAGTTTTGATTGTTTTTCATAAGTATGAATTTTAAAACAAGCACTAAGTAACAGTCCACCATATGTACTTTAGCAGTTAGGTAGGTCTGATAATGAATGATATTATCTTGAAAGAAAAGAAAGAATATTTGTTGGGCAGGTGCAGGTAAAATAATTTTTGGAGACTCTTATAATATGCAACCTAGAATCCAATTCAAGAAGTTGATTTGTTTTGGAAAGTATAACATTGAACATATTCATAAATAATTGCTTAGCTTCCCACTTTGAATATTAACCTGGGTAGCACACCGAAGACAAGAGGTGAGAAAAGGTAGTCACAAAATTGTACATCTGATTGATGGAGGCATCCCTGTGTTTTTAAATAGCTCCTCATACGCGTTTTCCTGTCCGAAAATAGAAACTTGCTTGTTTTCCATGTATATACAAGTAGCCTGTGAGATCCTGGACTCTGGAAAGAAAAAAAAAGTTGAGGTATAGCACTGAATAAAGCATCCAAATGCGTCTATTTGGCTGAAATTCATCCACGTTACTGTCCGCAGAGAAGTTGATGGACGTGCGCCTTGGAAGTCTTCAGGTGTCTGCACCTCTGAGAAATTTGTCGTCGGCATCGAATAACTGAACCCCTTAACGGCAATATACACAAAGGCATTTTATTGTTCATCGAAGACAGGGAATTAGAGCCATCAGAAATGACAACTTTATTTTTTTCATAATAATATATTTATTGCCATCGTAGTTCTGCGATTGTCGTAAAATTCGAGCCAGATGGAATTCAGACACACGCGCAAGTTTTGGACACGGACACAGATAACAGCATAGAACTGTACACAAAATAATTACAATTTATTCAACACACTGTTTTAGCGCATCCTTCACGGATGGGAATGAGCACCATATCTTTTATGAATATATATTTTTCTCTCTCTTTTTTTTTCTACAGCACCAAAGAGATCCAAATAGGAAAAGGGGAGGTGAAAATTGGGAATCAAGAATAAGGCTTGTTTCCATCTCAGCCACACTATCTTTTTTTCTTTTTTTAAATTATTTTCAAAGCTTTTGCCATGTGATTCTGCCCTCACTGATGAGGGCATCAGTACTTCCTAACTGGTACATGTATACGTATACGTGACGAGTTGGTTTCTATGCCATCCTTACTCAAAACTCGCATGTGGCATCAAATGGGTGGGTGGCACCAAGGTATGTTTCCTGTAGATTTCACATGTTATTCGTCCTAATCTCAGCCAAGAAAACAGACAGGGCCAACTTCGAATCCAAACTTCTGATTCTGATCACCAAAGTCATTAATCATTACATCAACGATAGGGACTTGGTCAATTCTCGGTGTGTTGATTTCAATCACAGTCTTTTCGTAGCCTTTTCTGGACTGTAAAGTTAAGCAGATATTGGACAAGTTATGCAATCATTTTATAGTTTTAACACAGATGTTATTTTTTTTCTTAAGCTTCTGAAGCGAGATAGGAAGATAAGAAAGGAGAGTGGAAGCACAAATTTATTATTATCGGTGTCATAAGCTCTTCTTGTGATCACTTATGTCATAAGTGGTTTTAAATATTGAATGCTGACACCTCCATTTAGCCGTAATTACCCAACTATAATACTCTAACATATTGCACAGTTGAAGAGAATCTTACTGAATTGATAAATACCATTTAATAGGAAAACTAATGTTGGTATTGGGTTATACGCCTACATAAATAATACATCCTTATGAGTAGAATCATAATTAAAATAGATACAGGAATTAAATGCAAGAGGTGAAAGCAATGGTGTGTCTGAATTCTGTGAACAGCGATCGGCACGTTTCTCCTGGAGAACCCAAAGCACCTACTTCTCTTTGTGAGCTGCAGGTAGTTCCTCTCCTTCGACTGGGGGCACCTGCTCACTGGTAACTGTGACTTATCTCCAGGATCAGCTAAAACAGAGCTTTTCGGGGCGCTCTGTGGGCCATTTTCTTATATGGAATTCCCAGTGTGTGGAAAAGGTACTTCCAGAGCAGAAAAATAAGACAAATAACAGTGGCGTCTACACTGGTGTCATGCAGTGCCAACCACCAAGCCCTCATCAATACAGGGCTGAGAAGCATCTGCGGTGTAATGCTGAGTCCTTGATCTGTCATTTTCAAACCATGGATTAAGGAGGGCAACAAAATAAGGTTTTGGTGGTGGTGTTTTTTTTTTCATTTCAAGAATAACTAGCAATATTATTCAGATATCAAGAATAATTCCAGCCCTGGCCGGTTTGGCTCAGTGGATAGAGCGTCGGCCTGCGGACTGAAGGGTCCCAGGTTCGATTCCGGTCAAGGGAATGTACCTTGGTTGCGGGCACATCCCCAGTGGGGGGTGTGCAGGAGGCAGCTGATCGATGTTTCTAACTCTCTATCCCTCTCCCTTCCTCTCTGGGAAAAATCAATAAAATATATTTTAAAAAAAGAATAATTCCATAAAAATAACCCACGACCCAAGATTACCTTCTGTTGTGGCTTTAAAAATGTGTCTACCTGCCCGCCTGGCCTGGCTCAGTGGTGGAGCGTTGACCTATGAACAAGAGGTCATGGCTGGATTCCAGGTCAGGGCACATGCCTGGGTGGTGGGCTCCATCCCCAGGACGGGGTGTGAGGAGGCCGCACATCAATGATTTCCTCTCCCTCTCTCTCCTTCCTGCGTGCCTATCAGAGGTTTCTAACGTACTGTATTTCAACATGTCAGTGATCAGCAGCGAATCTTAACAACGGCCTTGCCTATGCGACATGGGACTTGGGGCCGCACGGAGGGCCGTGCGCCGCCTGTGCCCGGGGCCATGGAGCCGAGACTCACCGCGCAGCCGTCGTGCAGCGCCCTGATGTACGGGCTGTTGTCGTGGGACATCTCCTCGTCGTTGGACCCCAGGAACCGGAGCGCTTTGCCGTACCCGCCGGTGGCCGCGTCGTACCAGGCCGCCGACTGGTGGCAGTGGTAGGTGAAGTTCTGCCGCGCGGACGCCGTCAGCAGCTTCAGGAAGGTCATCTGCACCATGTTGATGGCATTGCCTTCCACGTCCAGATAGGAAAGCTGGGAACAGAAACGCCAAAGACACGTCAAGACCCTGCTCCTCTTCTCGGTCCTAAAGGGATGAATCCCTGTGGACAGGGACCCGGGGAGCCGGGAGCACGTGGGTGGAGCTCAGGGCCATTTTCCTTTAAGGAAAGTGTGCGCTGAGGGTCAGGGGACCCAGAGCCAGGATCCGAAGCAACCGGGCTGTGTTCCCACCCGAGCTGCTGTGAGCACTGCCGATCTTTGGGAAAAAATCACTTTCTTTCTATGCTTCAGTTTCTTCATCAGAAAAAATTTTTGTTTCCAAATAGCCTTTCCTTGCATTTGTGTGTTTTCTAACAGTAAAACAGTGAAAACTGAGGGGTGTCAGTGCGACGTAAAGTGAACTATGTTTATGTTGTTTGATGTCGCCGACTCTTTTAAAAATGTCATAGGAGGATAGCAACTGGAAGTCACTGTTCACACGCGTCCCTGCAGTTCCCATGGTGGCCATGGTCTCCCCTAAGGTAGTTCCGGTCTTTTCTGTTCAGCTCAGACCCGCCCGCTTGTCCATTCTCAGCCGATGGACTTGCTCATCCTTGTACCACCAGGTACAGTGGCTGGGACGGCGCAAGGGAATGTGTTGTCAGTAAATACTTGCTTTGGATTTAGTAAGAAAAATAGTTTTAATTGCAAAGTCTTAAAAACTGTCTCTTTTACCAAAGTTATAAGTTGTGTTATGGGGGATAATCAACAGAGCTGGGCTCAGCTGAGACATATAAACTTAGATTTTCAGAAAAAATTAAATTCATCCAGATTATATTGAAATGAAATCTTATGGAAGTGAAGAACACAAAATGAAATTGTCATAATCAAAGATACTAAGTAGATATATTCCATCTGATGTTTTGAACATAAACCATTTTAATGATGTTTATCTCAGCTAATAAAATGTATATCTTATTATTTTAGCAAATTTAGTATATCTGCATTTCTTTTGATAGAAAATTTTAGATTTCTCTAAAGTCTACACCACAGTAGTGTAAGAGCCATCGGTCCTGCTTCGTATAATCTAGACTAGCACCGTCAGTGTCAAGAGAAACGAAATTTGAGCCTCATTTACGAAGCTCTAGAGCAGTGGTTCTCAACCTTCCTAATGCCGCGACCCTTTAATACAGTTCCTCATGTTGTGGTGACCCCCAACCATTACATTATTTTCGTTGCTACTTCATAACTGTAATTTTGCTACTGTTATGAATCATCATGTAAATATCTGATATGCAGGATGTATTTTCATTGTTACAAATTGAACATAATTAAAGCATAGTGATGAATCACAAAAACAATATGTAATTATATATGTGTTTTCCAGTGGTCTTAGGCGACCCCTGTGAAAGGGTCGTTCGACCCCCAAAGGGGTTGCGACCCACAGGTTGGAGACCCACAGGTTGAGAACCGCTGCTCTAGAGAAACCATTGCATGTTGAGGTAACAACATACCAGTTTTCCTCTCTTAAATTCACTGAACCAGCTTCCCGGCTTCTCCTTTGGCCACGATGAAATTCTCACCTGTTGCAAAAGAGCAGGGAAATCAGACAGTCGGTAAATATCATGAACAATAATATGTGTGTACACATCAGTAATTTTCAGTAGGAGTGAGATGCTAACGGGCCAACTTGGAGATGGATCCTGGGAATTCCCATTTAGTGAGGACGAGTCATTTTCTTGGTTTCCTTTCATTGCTCAGAAAAAGGGGAAAGAATCTGGTAAAGGCGAGCGAAGGGCTGCAGGGAACACAGCTGGGACGCCCAGCTCACCCCTTGCCATGGATGCCCTCACAGCGCCGTGTGGCATCAGCCGTCTGGCGGGTGCCACCAGCATCCACAGCCACGGTCGAGTCTGAAAGTCCCCCGCCAGCAACTGAGGCGGATGTGACAGAAAGTCGCTGGCGGGAAGTGAGCCTGGCCATGCCCTGCTGGGAAGAATGGCCCGAGTCTCTCATGGATCTGCGTGGATCGTTTTGCTTTGCAAAGAGGAGCGGCATATACGGCTGCCTTATGGTAGGGAACTGGAGTCATCGGTGTACGGGGCGCATTTCCTCTTTGCCACAGGGCTTGGGGCTCCAGGAGCTCTGTGATGCTTCGCCGCTTGCCTTGCAGGTGGGAGATGGAGTTTGCTTTGTCTCCTGCCCCTACTCCCCACGCTGCACATAAAGCCACTTGTTTTGACTTAGGGAGTTTCTGTAACTGAGACCCACACCATTTCCTAAGAAAAATGTGGTTTATTCAAAAGCCATAAAGGCAACATTTCCCACCTGTATTGTGTTTGGAGACTATAATTATGCCAGTGAAAAATCTTTCATTATATTAATAATTAGCCTTTAGCTTTAAAGATAGAACTCAAATGTACTGATACTGCTAGGTGAAAACTAAGAAATGAGTTTGGCCCTGGCCGGTCTGGCTCAGTGGATAGAGCGTCGGCCTGTGGACTGAAGGGTCCTGGGTTTGATTCCGGTCAAGGGCATGTATCCCGGTTGCGGTTCATGCAGGAGGCAACCAATTGATGTGTTCCTCTCTGTCTTTCCCTCTCTCTTCCACTCTCTCTGAAAATCAATGAGAAAATATCTTGAGGAAAAAAAAAGAAATGGGTTTGAAGGGACTAAACATTTCAAAAGCATGCATGTGTGGAGAATACTCTTCTTTTATGTGAAAAAGTAATTCTTTATGAAGCTATATTTCCAGCATAATACACAGCTGTGAGTTCTACCACGTAGTGGTTGGCGTGAAGACTGCTACACATGCACTGAAACCTGAGGATCGGCTGTGTCGTGGAAAGCCCTAGAATTTGAGAGAGCACACAGGTGCAAAAAGAACACACGTGGGTAAAAATACAGGAGAGAAGTATTGGTTAATGCCACACATCACTTGGTGCCTTATTCATGCTTATGCAAATGGAATGCTCTAATTACTCCGTAAGAAAAGCAGATGAATGAGAATATGACAGCATCATTTTCCTGTTGAGTTCAATATTGCAAAAACACGGCAGGAACTGTCGCAATCACCACCAACGCACTGGCTTACCCCCTCGGATTTCCTGTCTGGGTAAATGCACGTCTCGCCGCCTGACGTGAAATTGCAGTAAACCTTGAAGGAATCTCCTGAGCAGCCTTGGTTAGGATCGATCCAGTATTCACCTGGAGGCAGGGAACAATACGTCACAGACAAAGGTCATGGGCAAACTCATGCAACTGCATTCTGTATCCAATTTCATTCGAAAGAGAAATGAGGTAACATAAATATCCACCCGTCTTTCCCACAGGGATTTCTTGTACTCGTTCGGTCGTCTTGGGGTCTATGTTTGAAGAGGTAGGAAGTGACCCTTTTGTCTTGTCTGCCTCAGAGCTGTGCCCGTACCCCAGGTCCTCTGCCCGGACACCCGTTTTCCTTCCCATCACGCCTCTTACTTTCAGGTCTTAGCTTCCATGCCACCTCCTCAAATAGTAACCTCTATTTCTCATGCGCAATGAATCACACGCACATGGAGGCAGATATACACTCCACCCTAAACCCCGTCGGCATTATTTACCACTGAAGGCAGCCGAGTAGAACAGCCAGGGTCTATTTTCTTGGTTTACTCATTGGTAACAGTGGAGGCGGTGGGAGTATCTACTCAGCCTGAAGGATTATCCGTGAGCCTTACTTTATAGCAAACACTCCTTCTTGCAGTAACTGTCCTCCTCCTCTGCACGGGGCCCTCAGAGGCAGGTGGATTCTGTGTATTTAGAGGCCGCTTTCTATTAAGCCGTTAGCTAAGTGGTGCAGAGCACACTGTATCCTGTGAGTGACCGTGACGGTGGTGTTAGGTGGGTGAAGATGGTAAAAAGGTATGAGCAGTTGCTCTGGTTGTTGGTGGATGGATGGAACACATTTTTGCTCCAAGCTATCCTAACTCTTAAATACTCTGCTCATCGGATCAAATACGATTCAGTTACGCTATTTCATCATGTTGATTTCACTCATATTAATGTCAAGTATGTTAGGGTATAGGATATAAATAATCATATGGTAACGTGCACATGTGTGCACACATCAACCCCATTCTGTGACTATTACAAGGCAAAGTGCATCTCTGCTATCTATAATCATCCGAAAATGATCTTGTCATAATTTAATGAACCCTTATTTAACAGACACGGGTTTTCCAAAGCAGATCTTGCATTCCGCAGCACAAATGACTTTTTCTGTTACAAGATGGGAATTAATAAATCGTTGGCTCTCGCTTTCTTTGGAGACTGTATTAACACTTAAGGAGAATGAATGAGCTGACACCGCCTCGGAGCTGAGAGGCACTGTACTTGGGCTTGGTCATGTGTCACTGACGTACCATCAGGGAAGTCGGGGTGGCTGAGCTGCAGGTCTTTGCACGTGCGGGCGGGGTTGGTCTGCGTGCCCATTGGAAACTTCATGTGCTCAATGTCTTGTTTCAGGGAATGGAGGGAACCGAATATCTCCTCCATCCCGTCCGAGTAGTCGAGAGTAGCGTCCCCCGCGTCGGCCTGCATGCCCTCCGTGTGTCGTCTTGTCTTCTTGGGTGACAGGATGGGTAGAGGCTGGATGACTTCCCCAGGTGGACCCTGCGAGAGAGAGACACACAGGCCTTGTTTCCTGCGGATCTTAGTTATTGCTGGTGACGGAGCACGCATTGGCGTGGACCTTCATCAGATGCCTGCTCTCGTTTATTCATTAGTCCTCATTTACATGCCTTATCCCACAATTAGCTTTCAGTCCCTGAAGATGGAGCACCACTCTAAGGCTCTTGTGCTAAGGAGGTGTCTACTGTGCTTGATGATCATTTATATGATGATACTTCCATCTTTTACAGATACACCTTAGCTTGTTTCAAACATTTATAAAGGAACAAACTCAAAAGAAATGCTACCAGATTTGCGTTTACACTAAATCGTTGATCCATATCGTTATGGGTTGAACTGTGTCCCACAAAAGCCCACATGTGTTAGTCTGGAGGGCCAGCACCTCGGGAGAAGACTTTTATTTGGAAATGGGGTTGCTGTGCAGATAATTAGTGAAGTAACTGAGAACAGCAGGGTGGGTCCTAGACTGGCCTTGGAGTGAGGGAAGATGGGGGCACAGAGACCGGCCTGGACAGAAGTCAGCGTGAAGAGGTGTCAGAAGAAGACAGCCACCTACGCGCCGGGCGGGAGGCCTCCCTCGGACCTGGCCCCACCGCCTCGGAAAGGACCTGCGGGCACGCTGGTCTAGGGCTTGGGCCCCTGGGACTGCTGGACAGGAAGATCCTGTGGGTGAAGCGCACTACTCCCCCGCCAGCTGGGAAGCGAGCCCCCCACCGGGGCCTGAAGTCTTTCCCAGGGGCCTGTCGCTCAGTAGCCTGAAGCCTGGACATGCCAGCGTTCACCCGTGGGGGTGACTCATCGCTTTTCTTATCATCAGACGCAGCAGGAGAACAATGCCGACCTCAGCGCTGTTTGCTCTGAGTGTCAGATATGCATGGATCTGTGTGGCAGACCATCAGCTGCTTCCATGAAAATCTGACATCAAAATAGATGCGTTCCTTAAGAAACTAATAAGAACAGGACTCCCCGAATAGAGATATAATGAAAGCATCTCTATTCACACAGCGAAGCCAACGCCAGGACAAGCCTGGGCGTGCAGACCGAGAGCTTCCTGAACATGGCTGCTCTCCCTCCTCACACATCTGCAGGCATCTACTCGGGACCCTAAGAGCCACAAGGCCACTCTCGCCTCCACGCACTCACCGGAGGCCCGGGGGGCCCTGGCAGACCACTGTCGCCCTTCTGTCCGGCGGGTCCCTGTGGGAAAGAAACAGGAACAAGATGAACAGAGAACAAGGCATTGAGGCGGCCTCGCTGCCAAGGGCCGAGGGCGCAGGTACTCACCGTGGAGCCTTTGTTCCCCTTGGGACCTTGGGGGCCCTGGAAAACGCAAGAGCAAATCACAGAGATGAGGAGGGTGTGTGCCTCTTTGGGGCATCTGTACGTTTACTTTAGGAAACTCTCTTTCCTGGTACTTACTGGTAAGCCTGGAGGACCGGGGGGCCCGATGGGACCAGCAGGGCCTGGGATCCCCTAGGAGAGAGGCAGCCGCGTTAGAGGGTTTTTCTCAGCCGTCACAGTGGCGTGGTTTGCATAGCAGCCACAGCGCAACATGCAGAGGACGCAAAAACACGTGGGAAGAGCTTACGTTTCCCATTGTCTGTCTAAGAAGTCACTTTGCAAGATAGTCTATTTCATGTTGCTTCAGTGTCTACATACATATTCATGTTCCTGCAGCCTTCAGAATAATGATTTGCAAGTGTTGGGGATCAATACCTGTGAGTGCAATTAACTACTGAACTGTAATTTCTGTGCTTCGAACTTGTCATGCTTTTAATTTATTTATTCTAAGGTGAAATAAATTTCTCTTTGAAAACACCACTGACTCCAGGAGATTAGAATAAAGACGCTCTGAATCGCCTCCTCGGTCAAGTTGAAAGGGCTGTGCACGTGCTGTGTGTGTGTATCACTGGGATGGACAGGAAAGTCATGTCCTTCCTCACCCCATCGCCCTTCGCTCCTGGAGATCCCTGGGTCCCGGGCAGCCCTCTGTCACCCTTCTCGCCTTGTTCCCCTGGAGGCCCGATCAGGCCAATCAAACCAGGATGCCCCTGTGGGAGGCAGAGAAAAGAAGTGTGAACACTATAGACATCACAGCCCGGTAGTCACTTATAGTCATAAAATAATAGCACATTGAACTTGTGAAACGAAACTTGAACTTTCTGAAAAGGATGTGGGATGAAGACCCGCTCTGCCCACACCTCACAGGATCGTTTCCTCTGACATTCAGACCGTGCGGAGGGCTGGGAGTCCTGTGGCAGGACATGCTTTCTAAAGGTAGCCTCTTCAGTGTTGCCTTTACTGACAGGGAATTCCCTCAGCCGCAGGACCAACAATAACCAGATGTGAGATGCTGGTGAGGTAAACAGCTGGAGATCATTGTTTCAATAAGCATCTGATTTTATCTGATTTTATGCGAAATGACTTCTATTAAGAGATTGTGCAGTCTTTAAGAGAGATACGGAAACTTGAAAATAATCCAAAAATATTCATGCCGTTCCGAAAAAGGCTTATTTTACAAAAAAATTATTTGGTGCAGCTCAGGATACATTTTGGGAGAACAAATTATTATTTGTAAGATAACTGTTCAAATTTTTACTTCCATGTTTAAAGCATAAAAGCGGGCCTTTTGCTATTCCCTACGTTTACTTCTGAATTCCTATTTTAGCATAACCCCGTGCTCTCTCTGTACGTCCCTACAGGGGCACTGAGAAAAGGCAACACTGCATTCTGGTACCTTCTTCATGCGACTCTCTGTGTATTGCCTCTTTTCTAAATCCATCTGGAGAGCTAAGGACTGACGGCGTTGTCCTCGGTTAGAACAGTAAAGACAATCTTTGAAATTCCCCTTTCGGTGCTTTTTATCTGCAAACGTATTGTCTCTGCTACTAGAGTATCAAAACTGTAGGACAGACTTATTCTCACCTTCTCGCCCTTGGAGCCAGGGTCCCCTTTGAGGCCAGGTAATCCGGGGGGTCCCTAAACAATGAGAAATAAACACTCAGAGCGGGTGTGAATGAGGGAGTCCCGTTACTACCCCCAGAGCAAGTTCGGTTTGGGTAACTCTGCCAACTTAATCTTGACCAAGTTTAAAAAAGAATAATGACCGGCATTTATTTTTCAGAATTCCAAACTATTTTGCACATTTAAAACTCTGGTTGACTATTTAACCATAGTAATAAAATATATTAATGACCATTTTGATTAAATAAATATGAAGACAGAAATAATAGTGTTTCAGTTGAGAAGGGTAAATTGTTAATTGCACTAATTTTAGAAGAAGGGGTTTCCAAATAACATCTATTCAATCAAATATTTTGACATTAAACTCAAATTCAAAGATTATGCTATTTCTAGTAAAATTTTAAAAACCTCAGTTTGGCGTACACTCGGGAGAAAGGTCGCGGTGGGTGGGAAAGCTGGTGGGGAGGTTGCTTGCTGGGCATGGGTAGTCTAGTGACTACTCCTCCAGCCTGGAGCCGGTCCCTCACTAGTTGGGTAAACTTGCGTCTGTCACTTATTATCTCTGAGCTTTATGTAGAGAAGCATTCTAATAATAACAACCGTGTCACAGGATTGTTGTCATGAAAGAAAAACCAGTCCTACAAAAAGCACTGCCTAAACTGAAGTACCATGTAACTATTAATTATTATTCCTTTTTGCTATGCCAATCGGCTTCCTCATCGCAGTCTAACAGAACCAGCAAAAGTGCCAAAAAAAAAAAAGAAACCCTAGGAATTCTAACTGCTTGGGCTTAATGGGAACTATACCAGACATTATTTGTGTTTCTAATGCATTTTAAATCGTTTCTATGAATATTATTCATGAAGGAGGTACAGGAAATTCTTACTTAATACCTCTAAGCTAATAATCTCTATGAAATTACAATATCTAAGGAGGAATTTGCCAGGCAAAAACCAGTTTCGAGTCATTTCCATCCGCTGGAAATAGAAAGCGGGGAAGATCTGATATGAGCAGTAGCTATAACTAACCCTCTGAACCGGGGACACATCAGAATACTAACTCTGCATTTAAAGCTGTTATTCCGAGTGGACATAGTTCCTGGTTCCCCTTTAGGATACTGGAAATGGAAAAACCCTAGAGAAATACATAATTCATAAGTAATACAGTGAACGAGAAAACGGGGGATACGTCCTTAAGTGTCTGGAACACACAGACATTCCCTGCAGCGCCGTGCTTTGATAAACATCACAAAACTCCGCTGCCTTAACGTTGCCAGGCACTGCGATATTGTGAAATAATATTTAATTTGGTCAAAAGCAAGCATGATGTTGTTTGAACATGCTAATCACTATGGACTACTGCACACCTCGACCTGCTTACAGATAGTTTAAATGTAGCATAAAAATAAAATCAAACTGCAGTTTAGTAACCAGGCTACCAATTACTCAGGCCTTTGTGGTTTCAAAGAGAACGCTGTCGGTTCTTTTATAGATCAGCCTGTGAAGAGGGAATGTGAGGTTGCTCTAAGGCAGTGGTTCTCAACCTTCCTAACGCCGCGACCCTTTAATACAGTTCCTCATGCTGTGGTGACCCCCAATTTCATTGTTACAAATTGAACATAATTAAAGCATAGTGATTAATCACAAAAACAATATGTGATTATATATATGTTTTCCGATGGTCTTAGGCGACCCCTGTGAAAGGGTCGTTTGACCCCCAAAGGGGTCGCGACCCACAGGTTGAGAACCGCTGTTCTAAAGTAAACATGTCCAAAAATGAACACTGAGCAGTGTTTCAGTGACACTGGAATGAATAAAACACAAATAAAAGCTTAGACCCAAAACAGAGATGCTAACCTGCCTTCAAAAACTAAAATAGTTCATTAAACACCTTAACATCCAGAACAGAGGCTGTGAATGTTCTCATGTTCCAGATGAGGAACTTGACGCTTAGAAAGCAATGAGGAACTTTCCTAAAGCCCCTCAGCCAGTCAGTGGGAGCGCTTGGTTTCGAAACCGGGAGCTTGGCTCCAGGCTCATCCTCCCTCAGATCAAAAGAGTTGCCCACAAAAGTCAATCTCCGTTAGCTGAGTCTGAAAGATCATTAAACGGCCATGAGAGACACCCTAGAGATGACTTCTCCTGCTCTCACCTTTTGAGGACCAAGCAGCATCTTCATTAAAATTAGATATCACAGTCAAACGTTATGAAAAAGCAATAATATGTCCTTAAAACAAGCAGCCGGAGAGGGGTGGGCACCCATGCTCTCAATCTGATCCTTTCCAGGCCACACTGGGCCCGAATGGGAATGGGTTTGAGGGGGTCAGCCCCTCCCTCGCTCTGTAAACGCACGTTTACCTAAGAGACGCCTCCGGGTGGACTGTCTGATGGTTTGTTTTTAATATAACCATTTAGCCGGAGGAAGTCTCCCGCATGACTGATGTTTTTTAGTTCATCCAGGGAAAAAGGTCAGAATACTTACTGGAAAAATCTGAAATAACAAGGAAAAAATCCCTGGCAAATTTTAGGGTGACATTACGGCGAAGTGCTTTTCTCCAGGCTCGGACTCTGCAGCCAGGAGCGGCCCGTATTCATGAAGAATATTCCCTAAACAGTGCAGACAGCTGGGGGGATGGGGGGGGGGGCAGGGCTGGCCCAGGGCCTGTGAGGTCGCGTGCTGACTTGATAATCTCCTGCTTGAAGTCACTCAAAACTTGGTGACTTTTATTCAATCACTAAAATAACTGATCTTTAACTTTTCAGAGAAAGTTAAAAGACACTCATGTTAGAGGAAATTTTGGTGACATTTTTACTAAAAGGAATGACCCCAATTCCGGGAATAATTAAGATTGTGAGACCCAGTTTAATGGCTTTTTAAGTATGTAAATGTCTCTGAGATGATGAACATATTCGTGATCAGCAGCGTTTTGTAGAATTTCAGTTACTATATGGAAGTCCTTGCTTATTTAAAGTAGTGAGCGTCACTTGCAGAGCCTGCAGGACTGACAGAACATTACTCGGTGAAGGAATCCCTGTGGGACGGGGCCGGCGCTGCTCTTAAATGCAGGGCCCGGAAAGGCAGGCAGCCGCACGCATGTGGGGACTGTCTGCGTTTGGAAAAGACCTGGCCAGGCCATTGGAGGGGAAACATTTTTTCCATCCAAGGACAGAACAAAGGAAAGATCTAATCATGGGGCATATTTTCAAAAGAACGTATCAGTTAGATTTCTTTTCCTCTTCTCCAGTGTAAGACACTTCCTTGAACGTTGCACAAACTAGAGAGCAGTTTATAAGCTAGAATCACGGAAACCGTAGCTCATAAAGGATTTCGTTTCTGGAATCCTCCCCTCCCAACAGGACGGGTGCTACTCACCAAGGGACCGGGCGGCCCGTCTTGGCCTGCAGCTCCGGGGAGGCCTTGTTCTCCCTGTGAAAAATACACAGGATTAATTTCTTAAATGGACAGAAACATATTCTTTTATTTTAATTTTGGAAGAAAGCAAACATTGCCTGTGGAGTCCCTCACATGGAGAACTCCTACAATTGTAAGCAATCTTGAGGCTTCTCCTTTTGTGTGGCGTTTGTCTACAGGCACAGGCGCAGGCACATGCACACACACACACACACACACACGGATGCACATGCTAGGTATAAAAATATGACATCTTTGTGATCTTAGGGCAGTGATGGCGAACCTTTGACACGCGTGTCAGAGGTGATACGCGAACTCATTTTTTGGGTTGATTTCTTTGTTAAATGGCATTTAAATATATAAAATAAATATCAAAAATATAAGTCTTTGTTTTACTATGGTTGCAAATATCAAAAAATTTCTATATGTGACACGGCACCTGAGTTAAGTTAGGGTTTTTCAAAATACTGACACGCCGAGCTCAAAAGGTTCGCCGTCACTGTCTTAGGGTTTCGTTTTCTACTCTGCCTTTGAGTTAGAATTACACCATGAACTAATTAAATAAATGACATACTGAAATACTTAAGATTTTCATTATTACATATTCCCCAAATTCCCTTCAAACATCCACACTCTAATTTATAAAATAGTGCTGACACAAACATTTTCATTTACAATTGTGTTGTGTGTGTTTTTTTTAAAAAAAAATAAAACATCCCAGATGCTCACCACAGGCCCGGGGATGCCCCGAAGGCCCTCCGGACCGGGCTTCCCGGCGGGTCCCTGAGGACCAACTGGGCCAGTCTTCCCGGCAGGACCTTCGGCACCTGCTTCCCCCTGTTAGAAAAGACAACACGGGCACACGTGACCAGGGAGGAAACACGTCTTGTTATTTCATGAAAAGTGTTAAGTCTAAAAAAAAGTGTCAATCTAGACGTTGGCCGTGTAGGCATCAGCTTTGCATACGTAAGACCTACACAACCGGCCTTACCTTGGCGCCCTTTTCCCCTTGCCGTCCCTCTGCACCTGCTGCTCCCGGAGGACCCTGCAAACATCACACAGTCAGACCTCCTCTGCACTTACAGGGTCACCTGAGACATAAAAAGCTCGGCATTCCTAAACCTTGTGGCCAACTGATGTAGAGAAGTCATTTATGTTGCATAACCTCATATTCAGAGTATCAAAGAAAACGTTTTGAGCTAGAAATAAGACATTATAATCGCCATGATATTTACGTTTTGTTCCTAATAATTGTGCCGCATTATTCATGTCTTCACTTTTGGCATTTCCTATAAACCTTTCAACTCGACACCAACAGGGCTCCGGCTTTGAGAGCCCGCCACAGTAAGATCCACACGTAAGTATCCGTAATCAACTTACTCTAAGGCCTGTAAAACTGACAATTACTAAGGAATATTTATTTCATGTCCACTAGTTAATTGAATTTGTATTATTACTTCAACAAGCATGCGATGCCAGGTGATGGAATTTTCTGCACCAGTTCAGACACAAGTCCTGAAAGCTTAAATGAGTGATCGCAAGAAAATTGCATTCATTTTCCCCCCAGACTCTTGTTTACTTCAATTTTTGCAATGAGTTGTGCTCAGAGTCAGGGGCTGAGACTGAGGTTGGGGAAAGGAGTGGAGATGGTGCTTTTTAAGGCTGTCATGTTTATGTTATGTTAATCAGCTCCAGAAATTATTTTTCAGCAAAATGCGTGGAACAAACTTGGTTTTTGAACAGCTGTGAGGCTAACTTGGGTCTTAGCATTTCACGGCTTATTGACAGCAGCTACACACTCTTCTAGTGCCTGAAGGAAATACACTTCTATCCTCAAGTATTACCAATGCATGACAGGGTATCCGTGTACTACAAATGACAACTTAATTCCCCTACTTGTTCAATAACTGTTAGAGTGTTGAATGTCAGTATCACCACCACTTGCCACATTCTGATCAATATTCTATTAGGAAGGCTTATGTGTAGGATTCACTCAGGGAAAAAAAATGGTAATACGTGTGAACACACGCCTTGCCATTGCTCCTTCGGCACTGGGGTGTTGGAGCCTAATGGCTGTTGGTCTATCTTTCCGGGGCTCCAGTGTGGGGAGACCGAGGAGGAATGTTGATGCCACAAAGCAGAGACAAAGCTTACTTAAGCTTTCATGTTCTGGTGACTGAAGGAGCGTAGTGAGAGGAGGAAGGGAAAAGGGGCATTTGGTCAATGAAGAGAAACTGCATTCCAAGAAGATATTTACTACAAACCAAATTCATTTCTGTCAGAGAGAAATGTCTGTAAATATCAACTCACATTTATGTTGCTGGGAGACCAAAGGAAAACCTACTACACTCTGTCTACAAAGACGGGTGTGTGAAAATGCCCCTAAAATAAAGCTACCAGGGGAGAAAGCTCAGTCTTTGGATTTCTTAGGGAGACCGAGCCCAAGAAATATATTTGGTGTTTCCCACCTATCCACGCACAGAGACTAGAGGAGGAGCAGGCCTAAACGCTGCGAGAGGCGGGGCCACAGAAGCTGTTACAGAACAGCACAGCAGTAAGGACAGGGAGGGAAATCTAGCACCTGCTGGAACCAACCTCTCCACAAGGGCTGTGTGTGTATATCTCACTGTAGTCTTCTGTTAAAATCCTCCCTCCGCTTCCAAATCAGAGACGTTTGCCCATGGAAAGCGATCTAACGTTTCCTGCTGATGGCTCCCGGGCCCATTCCCTGGATCCTGCATCCAGGTTTTCAGTTTCTTAGGTAGCCTGGCCTGTGACAGTCCATCTCTCTGGGATGCACTGGAGCTGACGCTAACAGCCCAGGACAGCTACACAGAGGGCGGCTGCACAGACATGGGAGCTGCCCTCACTGTGACGGCTCGGCCTGGCGGCCCGAGTGTGATCCAGTTCCAGAGGTATTTTCACAAACTTAAGAAATCACCGTCTTCCCTAGGACGTACACTTCTCAGCATCATTCTAATGCGCCGCTCACATATATAGCCTATGAATTCACACACATAGTGGATAACGCGTGGAAGTTTCCAATAAATAATTTTAAAAACTTACTCTTTTCCCAGGAGGACCTGGCGGGCCCGCCTCACCAGAGGGGCCGGGAGGACCCTATAAAATGAGAAAAATACGTTAAAGCCCCTGGCGCTGTGTTACGGCCACAACGTTTTTCAGACTCAGGACAGAAACCAGCCCTCCTGCTTCACCTCCCCACATCTCTCTCCTGGAGAATCTCCGCCCTTCTTCCGATACCGCGCCTGCCTCTAGGGAACTGCAGGCAGACACCTGGTGAATCCACAGTGAAAACGCCCTCAGAGCCGGAAGAAAGCGGATCAGAAATACCGTGTTTCTTTAAAAAGTGCTCATTTCTCTGACAAGCAGCCAGTAGACGTGCTAACTACAGAATCATGTGGGCGGTAATGCCACTCAGTCGCATACATCTGTGCAGCCACGAAACGATGCGTCTCCACCCTCCCTGTGCCACGCCAGCATCGCTACACCCAGGAGCAGGAACCTGCCGGCGATGGCCCCGGCGCCATCTGCACAGAATGAGCCTGAGCTCCGCGGGCAGATCTCCAGGGGGGGCGCTCTGGACACGAAGCTGTGCTAGGGCAGCGTGTCTCTGGCTCCTACTCAAGCGCGTGCCCTTCCTGACCAGCCACACGTGGCCACAGCCCACTCCTGTGTCATTACCAACAGCAGCAGCAGCAGCCGAAAGCCAGCACAGCGCTGAGCTCGGTGAGGCCAGTAACCGGAGTGCATGCACCGGACAGGCCCTAACCTGGCTTTCTTTTCTGGTCTTACGTGTGATTTCCAAATGACTTATAGTAACACGAATGGACAGACAGCTGGATCTGATGCAGTCGGGCAGAACCTGATGTGACTACATTTTTTTTATCATGAAGGCTTTGCTTGTATTTCTTAAATCACATCGAGTTAGAAACACTCCATGTAAGTTTGCCTTTTAACTGGAATTGAAATATAACTGATAATTCTTTCAGAAAAAAAATGGTTCTTTCTGATTTTCTTAAATGCCCTGAGGCGAGGAAAAGATGAAATAAAAGCAGCGTGTGCTTCCTCACCGGCTGCCCGGGGTCTCCATCCTCACCCTTGTCACCACCAACGCCGTCTTGACCCTGTAACGGGAACAGAAAATGAGCCCGATATTTCTCACTATTGATTCACTTCGATCTGAGGAAAGGGTACAGTATACGGTCCTAGTCCTTGAGCTAAATTATGACCAGGAGGACACAGTATTCGGCTCTTTCTGTTGTTCTTTTAAGGACTGTGGTATCTCTCACTCTTTCCATAAAGATTTGTGAAATTGTGGCCGCATCAAATTTAAAATGTAGTATGCTCTTTTTAATAAAATTACTTTTATTGATGAAACGTATTACAGATGTCCCCCGTTTTCCCTCCCACTGTCCCCCCCAGACCTTCCCTGCACTATTGTCTGTGTCCAAGGGCTATGCACTATGCATGTAAGTTCTTTACTTCATTTCTTCCCACCCCTCCCCCTTCCCTCTGAGGTAAGTGATTACATTTTTCTGTAATTATTAGCCATAGAGACACTGGGAACATCCCCCCCCCCCCGCTTTATTTTCCACGTTACTCACCGCAGGGCCGGGCTCCCCGGGAGGACCTGGGTCTCCAGGAAAACCAACAGGACCCTAGAAGGATGTGTCCAGAGGGAAGGAAATAAATGAAAACTATTTTTTAGGTATTCTGACGTTTACGAGGTACAAGTCATGGTATGTCCCTGTGAGAATGTCTCCCTTCTTCTCTTAGCGCTGCTACAAGTGAAGGCAGTCCCGGGAGGCTGGGCGGAGTGTATGCAATGATGAACAGTCAGTCTCATGACTTCTCGTCTTCCTGCGAAAAGCTCCAAAGTGGCCTTGACTTCGGTGCCACTGGGAAGGGACCAACTTACCGGGTTGCCTTTCGGGCCATCGTCCCCTGGCGGCCCCTTGGCGCCGGGAGGTCCAGCCGCGCCGGGGGGCCCCGCTTCCCCTTTCTCTCCTCGTTCTCCTTTGGGGCCCTACACAGCAGAAGAAGAGCGGTTACCTTACAAGCTCCAAGTCAAACCTGTCCCCAGCTTTCAGGTGTTTCCATCTGTAAGCCAAGCGCGGCTCTAACTGCAGTTATTCGAGGGCGCTGGAGATCATCTGGCCGCCTCCTCAGACGGGGAGGACGTGGACCTCGGAGATGCGCAGACCTGCACTGAACTCCGGGCTGCCATTTCCTGGCTGGGCTTCTGGCAATGCGTTCGGTTCCCCAGGCTTCCTACTGGGAACGGGGTCGCCTTGCATGACCGGATGAGGAATACGAAAGAGAGGACCGTGCTAGTGACAACCCAAGCAGTGGTCGCCAGGCAGCGTGCGCTTTTATAGAGTGAGAGCCACACCGAGGGTCCCGTCCGTGCTCTCAGGACGCTCAGCGCTTTGAATGAGGGCGGCTCCACGCTCCAGCTCGCTTCCCGCGGGAGGAGAGCCCGGGAGCCTTTTCCATGTGTGTGAGCCAGTGTCGTAGGCTGCGCATCAGGGCAGAGGGCTCTGGGCTGCAGGGCGCTGTGCTATGAACTGCGAGATGCAGAACAGCTCCCCCGGTGTCTATGAATGAGCTACCCTGCCTTCAAGCACCACAACCAACAAACACCTGTCCAGACGTTTCCCAAGGCTTCCCCCAGGGGTCACACTCACGCCAGGTTTAAACAGATCTCAGTGAGAACGCGCCATCCTAACACAATTTAAATATTTTTTTTGATGTAGCATGTTGGTCTGTTTATTTTGTGGACAACCCATCACAAAACTGTAGACGATAAACAGCTCAACTCCGAATGCTCTGCCTTACACAACTGTGACTCGTGCAATGTCTACATTAAAACATGCGGAGGACATGACAAAGTATCCCACGGACATGCTCCGAGTGTCTGCTTTTCTTAATGGAAAGGCAAGGAAACAACCGAGTGACAGCGAGGAGTGGGTGACGTGTCACAAACGCTCAGGGGAGCCCCTGGCCGCCCCCCGCCCCGGAGGAAAGGCCCTCACTTACCCCCGTGCCTGCTTCCCCGGGCGGCCCTGGGTTTCCTGCTTCTCCGGGTTCACCCTGAAACGGAGAGATCGGATGAGCATCAGGGCACGGACGTGAGGGCTCACATTTGTGAAACCACCTTCAGTGACGACCACGATGTTTGAGACCAGCCCTTCGATCAGTCTCATCTCTAAAAGGCAGGGAGACTTTTCCTTCTCGGGGAAGACGCCAAAGCTACAACTCTCATTGGTTAGTTACCAGGCGGGTCATTCACCCCGGGTCCCACCAGCCTCACAGGACAGACAGCCGCTGCTCCCAGCCCAGTGTGTATTTAATTAAGTGTATGGATTCAACAATTTCAGGTATTTTTGTACCAAAATGTGAATTTAATTTATCACTGACAAATAAGCAAATCATTTGGTAGTATTTTGATTCTCCTGTAAATGTATTTAGTAGAGGCCTAAAGAACATAGAAACGGAATGTATTTATAAGATGCATAAAGGTACATAGATACCAATTAAAACTGCTCCTTTTGAGGATGTACATATTATTAATTTGGATGGTTATTTTTCTACCTTAGACTGGTAACTAAGCCTCCAATAGGTTTTAGTTAGGAAAGTCTGTTACTAATTCTTTGAACTTAGAATGCCGGCAAATATTCTATTCGAGTAATCATCCGAGAGAAATAATGTATCAGTACATTCATGTGCCATGTTTATCCACCAGATCAGAGGTACCAGCAATTCTGAGGCAGAAATGGTTCTAAAGTTTTTAAAAATGTAAGGCCTGAATGCTCTTTAACATTTAACTCTACTCTCTCAAATATTCCCATTGCTCATACATTTGTTTGAAATGCATTATATGAAATAGAAACAGAATCCCAGGGCGAGGCTATCTTATGTATATAATTCCTTCCTCGATGAAAATATGCACATATTTTAACTTCATGAATTATCTGCATAATGACAGAAAACATCAAGTACTTTCACTGTGTATAAGTTATTTTCTTCTCAAGATGAGTAGCAAATATTTCCAGTTTTTAAATAAATCTTACAAGTAATATTTATTGAAATAATATTGTATTTATATTATTTACAAAGCAATGAGTCATTCAGCTATCTGAGTATGATGGGATGATATATGTGATATTTCTGTCATTATTCATTATTCATATCTTCAAAATAAATCTTAAGTAGTTTGCCATTCAAATCAAATGCTTTCTACATGGAATATTATAGTCTACTGCATGAGTTCACTTAGGTGTGAAATTTAAAACAGTCAAACTCATACAAGGAGAGAGTAGCAAGGTATTTCACAAAGCATACCTGTACCAGAACATCAAATTGTACATCTTAAATGTATATGATTTTTATTTGTCAATTACAGCTCAATAAAGCTGGAAAAAAATCCATAGGAAATCAGGCCCTGGCCGGGTAGCTCAATTGGTTAGAGCATCGTCCTGATACACCACAGGTTGGTTGGTCAGGGGATCAACCGATGAATGCATAAATAAGTGGAACAATAAACAACAAATTAATCTCTCTCTAGAAAAGTACACAAATACAGGAAATCTATTGACCATGCACAAAATATCTTCTGAGCCACCACGTTAACCCCTGGTGAGACCACAGAAATTGGAACTGGAGGGAAAATAACTATTCTTCTAGTCACCCTCTGCATATTTTGTTGTTGTGTTTTAATCCTTGTCCACTATAAAGTTAAACTAGATTCTTAAGGATTATTTCCATTTTTTCAAATGAGGAAAATGACAGGTGGCAAAGAGATTTGAATAGTTAAAATTTAAAGACAAGTTTTTACTACAGAAATCTCTTCATTTAGAGAACAACACATCTATGTTCATTTGTCAAAAGTTCATATGCAAATTACCTTTTGAATATTACAGGCAGGTGTGCACAAAATAAGTGAACAATTATTTAAGAAGAAATTAATGTTGTGTAAATGTTAAGTAATGTCCCATTTAAAGGCTTGTGAATAGGACAAAATTCCAAGTAAATAAAACGTTACGACAAGCCTACATCAAATGGATAAATCTGTATTTCTCGTATCAACAAGGCTACACCATATTCCTTCTAGAAAGTCATAATTAATATGCAATAGTGTAAATTCTGTAGAGCAGCTATGTTATAATTTTAAACTGTCATTACTCAGCATGCCACCATTTTGCCCCATTCTATAACACCCTTGCTCAGATTGACAGCAAATGGCTCTGTGTGCCTTTTGTCATAAAATATGCATTAAATCCACAGGCCCTGTGCTGATACACATCTCTGTTTTGAGAAACCGTTCAAGTGCAGAAATCCATCTGTAGCAAATATATATTCTCTGGAAACAGGCTACCCCTTTTTAAGCAGAGTGCAGCATGACTAAGGGATACACTTTTCTTGCCCTTTATTTTTTTCATTGATTTGTGACTGGAAATAAGTTTTCCAAAATGAAAATGAGGAAGCATCCAGCCAGAATCAAAGCTGATATCAGAAACCTGTCATCTACAGCAAATGACATTACTCCAGATGCTGAAGAAAATTAAAATCAGAATTGCATTTCTATCTGGCTGTCACACAGAAGCATATTTTTTTTTGAAAGAGAAAAATGAAAACTTTCTATGACGGTGACACAGGTAGAGTCGGCCACATCTGGATTGTAGGAAGTGGAATCACCACCCTGGCCGACTGAGTGTTTCTCTGGAGACTGGGCTTGGCCGGGCTGCCAGACAGGCCGTCAGCACATGGGAACAGCATGGGAAGGGAGGTGCGCACAGCTCCAAGCATCTGGCACCCGTGTTTACCCAAGAGTCACACAGGAGGAAAACCACCCAAGAAGCAACCGAAGTACTTACAACTGTCCCCCCTGCACCCCAAAGCTCTGCAGAACAAAGAGATGGGCTGAAAAAGCTATTAAAAGGTTTTAAAATTTGCTATGTGGGCAAAACTAAAAGTAGAGACTAGGTTTCACAACTCTCTAGTCAGCATTAGAGCCAAGGAGGGGGGGTGACGCAGAGGGAAGGAGGACAGTTGTGTCCTCATCTGTGTGAGACAGGGACACCATCAGACAGGGTCTCTCCCGCCTCTGTTCCCATGACAACTGAACTCAGTGAAAAGTGATCTTCCAATTCCACCCCCAGCTCACCAGCGCCTTTTCAACACTAAGCTCCCAATGTAAGAACATAAAGAGATAGTCTAAAAAATAGCAGATTGTTTATGCAGTAACAATTCAATCCTAACTTTAAAGTGCTTCATATGTAGTAATTAAGAAACCATTTGAATAATCACAGGCATGGCGGATAGCTAAGGTGGTTTGAGCATCATTCCAATATGCCAAGGTTGCTGGTTAAACCTTGGTCAGGGCACATACAAGAATCAACCAATGAATGCACAAATAATTGGATAAACAAATCAATGTTACTCTTTCTCTCCTCCTCCTCCCTCTCTAAAATAAATAAAAATTTAAAAAGAATAGTCCTATAGGGTTAATTACATTGATAATACTAGGATGTAAGTGTTGAGCAGAAATAAATATCCAAATAATATATTCTAATTCTATCACATTACTTTTCTGAGCTTTAAAATTTTAAATTAAAATAAATTAAATTGAATACAAGATATATCAAAAAAGTTTTAGATCAAACAACAGAACTTTTTGTTTCTGATAGCAATTAATTAATAACTAGAAAATTCAAGAAATTTCTGTTGTTTCTACTGGATAATATTTTATGTTTTGAAATTTCACTTTTGGCCACCAAAACTGATAAATACCTTAGTTTTTACATAAAGCAAAATTGATGTCAATTTTTGGAAAATTCTATTAAGAAATGAACATGAATGCATCAATAATAAATCAGAGAATCAGTGTGCTATTTGCACCAGGGGGAGGAGGAGATTTTTAAACCTGATGGAGTTCATGAGAAAAGGAAGCTATCTCGGGTTCAGATGTTATTTTACAAAGTGCCAGAGACAGGGTACAGCAATGAAAATGAAACTCCACATACGACAGAGTGAGTGATGAACTCTTTTGTAGTTGAAAGGATTCTGTTTTCCCTTTTAAGTCATTGCATCAACCGATCTCTTCTAATTTCAGTAAAGAGTGTTATTAGAGACACTTAGTCTAGTCAGACATACCTGGGTCAGGGTAGATCTTGAGTTAGTCCCTTTCTACGGATAAAACCTTGATGCAAACACTGAAATTCTCCAGGCTTCAGCTTTCCTGGCTCAGACATGTGGGTAATAGTAATACCCTCATCACAGGGAGGTTGGGCTGATTAAAGGAAATACTCCATGTACACCATCGGTACAATACCTGGCGATCAAAACCATGGTAGCTCAAAATCATTCTACCTCTCATCATTGAACTACCGGAGAGGATGAGTTGTGATTCATATAACTGTGTGTGATACACTGAGAGAGAAGCCCTGCAAACATTAGCCAATGCTAACAAGTCCTCTATTCTTGCCATTCCAAACTGTACATCACTACGTTCCTGACCTTTTCTCCAACACCACCAACGGAACCAATGGATCCTGGAGGGCCTTGGGGTCCCTGCAGGAGAGGAAAAGGAACACAGTTATCCTCCTTATAACGACGTAATAAATCCATAAGTATGCATCTAGTTCTTCTTAAAGAGAGAGAAGTATGTGCAAGAATTCCCCAAGTCATTGGAAGGATGGGACAAAATCATGCCCTTTACTGAGTTGTCGAATTCACTGGAGAGCAAATAATTTAATTAACCTGATTTTTAAATGCACCAGACTTTTGAAGCTAAGACTGGACACTTTCCAAATCTAGTCCTGCCAGTTGGTGCACAAAACGTAAATTCAATCTTCCTATCAGTGAACATGCCCTATTTAGAGGATGACTTTTGTAGTGATCAAAATACGACTCTGGTTAGGAAGTAGGTGATCCATGCCACAAACAAGGTCAACCACCTCCCAACCTCAAAATTACTTCAGGACAATAACCTAAAAGCCTTTTTGGTACATCTGTTCCTGGTACATTCTGGCCCAAATTAAAAGCAGACATAAGAGCAGTAAAGACAAGAATAGATGACTCGTTCTTGGTGAAAAGGTGAGGTCAGAAGGTGTGATCACCTCAAAGCCTATACATTTGTTATTGATAACAAGATAAATATGACATTACATTTCAAAATCCTAGAATACTGGAACAGTGAGTTAGTTATGAAGCTCTGGGGAGATTGTTTATACAACTGAGAAGAAATATTTTACATGGCGAGAGGTGCATGATGTATAGGCACATATTATTCTAACATATTTTATAGAGTGAAAAAAATTGCAAACTTTTAGATAAAAGTCACCGATGAGATGCGTAAAGGCGGGCTGGGGTACAGTCCTGGGCTCAGGCAATCAAAGCTAATCACAAACCATCTCCTCAAGACATTGTAAGCGACAAAGGTTAAATTTTGAGACAATTCGGTAACATTGAACAGTTATCATATGCAAGGCCTGGTCTTACTATGTTGAACTGAACAAATGTGGTTATTCTAATAAAGCTAATATTTCTAACTCACCAATAAGTATGTATTGAATGTGCACTTTGTACCTATTTTGTATTTGTGGTGATTCATTCCCTGAAAAGCCTGTTTCTTTTCTTGGAAAATGACATGGAGTAAATAGGGGACCCTTGAACTCTGTGCACTTCAACGTTTAGTAACAGAATGATTATCCCCCTTGTGTTGCAGACACAGTGGTCATTAAATGTCAACACCCCCATACAACTTCACAATAACTAACGTATACTTCACAGTTCTTACATCAGCTCCGTTGGGACCTTGGGGACCTCTGGGGCCGGGGGGGCCAGGTGGACCCTGTAAGAGACGGACATAAGGTTATGAGGCCGCACTTAAACGCACTTGGGAAACTGCAAAAGCAGTCAGTGGAGCACATCGGGCTTATAACACGTTCTTGGTGGACACAACGCCACATTAGCAAATGCTTCTTTATACATAGCTACGGGGAAACTAAAACTGCAGGGGAAACATTGAAAAAGGCGCCTGGCCAGTGTGGCTCAGTGGATGGAGCATTGTCCCACGCACCACGAGGTCACAGGTTCAATTACCAGTCGGGGCACATGCACATGTTTCAGTCTCGATTCCCAGGAGGGGCGTGCAGGAGGCAGCTGATCAATGTTTCTCTCTCGTCGATGTTTCTATCTCTCTTTCTCTCCCCCTTCCTCTCTAAAAAGCAATAAAGGCATATTTAAAAAAATTTAAGAAGTCTATTGCTGCTATCTGGTATAATGAATTCATAATACAACTAGAAATAGTTTGTGCCAGGATAGGCCAGAATGCTAGTGTAGAAAAGTAACGAAGTTGGAAGAAGAAATGGCGCCTGAGTAGCTCTGGAATTCTTAATTCTATAGAGTATTTTAAAACGTGTATACGTGTTCCATTGGTTAGAATTGAAATACGATTAACTGCCTCATTGTCTTTCTAAAACGATGGTTCTCTCTCCTTGTTTTGCATTAAAATGAACTTGGACGCTTTTAATAAAGTATGGATGGTCAGCATCCGTAACCGCACACTTGTGATTAGTCTGGAGTGAATGCCAGGGCATTGGTATTTTTTTTAAAGGTCACAGTTTATTTTAATATCATGGTTGAAAAGCTTGTCTACTCCCAGTGTTACCGTAGGTCAGGAGAATGCATTAATATTCAGGGAACCTGGCAGCCACATCCAGGGGGTGCCTGCTCTCTACCCAGTGCTGCGTGGAGTCTTAATCAGTTCTGAATCAGCACCTTTATGTCCCCCGTTTTTAAGTTTATTGTGATGATAAAAAATCATTTCTTATTTGAAGAAAAGAAAATCTAATGTTCAAGTGTAAAATTATCAAACATGTATTTTAAGGAAGTACATATTGGAGTAATCTTTATTGAAAGAAAGCAGCAATTAGGAAATGTATTCATTATATTTCATTATTAATTTCAATGATCCTACCTAATTGTTTCCTTACCCAATACAGTGCTTAGTAAACACACATAGGTATTTCACATTTTCAGTTGAACCATGAGAGCAGAAAGCCAGAATCAATCGATGGAAATTATGTCATCGCGTTTTAATTAATTGAGAATTCCTTGTTAAATGAAGACTTTTGAAATACAATCAATTTTAATACTGTGCTAACATTTGCTAATTATTCAAATCCTGGGAGACCACTATCTATTCTTTATTTACGCCACATGAAAGTCCAGAACTCAATACTAGTAAATAACTGAAGTGCAGCAGTTTATCTACGCCTCGGGAATATACGCACATAGAAATGAAAGATATATCACAATATATCGACCAGCGAGAGCCCCAGGTGTGTTCACCATTACCCCAAAGCGAGAAAGAAAAAACAGAGGTTCAACGTGATGAGAGAGACGCAGTGGTCACAAATGCAGGGTGGGTAGAGGAAAGAGAAAGCATCCATTTGAAAAGCCATAGCCTTTAGGACAACTTTGTTCACATTAATAAACCTTCAGGAGATATTAGTAACATGGGAATCCATCATATCTATCCGATACTTAACAATAAAAACGTACCATGGGACCGACATCCCCATTTTCACCTTTTTCACCAGGTGGGCCTGGCAGACCCTAAGAAAATAGAATAGAAAAACCATAAAAGTCACTCATTTATCCAATTTCTGACATAAAACCAAAAAATAAATATAAAGTTGTTAGAACTTTAACATGAAAATTAAGATTCAGAAACTATCACATCAAAATACTTATAAGAAATGACTACATGTGACAAAATCTTATATCTACACTTACAAATAACACGTAGGCTTTGTATAATATTACACTGAGTTTAGTCACCAGAACTCACAGAGCAGGTTGCACTCAAATGTCACCTGGCTACGTCTTCATGAGAAGATTATTGTACTTTTCCCTTGAACTTTCTCACTAGGTCCCCCATGTAGAATTATTTTTCCTCTTTCATATCACACGTTGTACACACTCTAACTGTATGCAGCACTTAAAAACACAAATTTGCCACTTGCTTGTGTACTTACAATCATGAGCTCTTAGGTGTCAATTTTAAAAGTGGTAATAGTTTCAAATCTAGTATAATTATGGAGTGTTTTAATTTTTAATGTTATTTGTATATATCTTATACACTCTATACATATTTTATTTTTAAAGCTGATACAATAGAATCTCGGGCGTAATCTACTTAAGAAATAAAAAAACACATGATGCAAAGCTTTAAACTCACGCTGGTACTTTAGAAAAGTATTTACATGGCACCTCACTACAGTAGCAGCAAATTATTAGACCACGACCCACAGTAATAACTGCATTTTACTCGTTACTCCCTAAACCTGCACATGCGAAGTAGCTGAAACATGGCTTCTAACAGTCATGCTGACCCTTCCTGCACAGGTGAGGGTCTTTGACGTTTTCATTCTACTTTACTTATCCTGTTCCCTTTCATTTTTTATGCTGGGGATACCCCAGTAAGTGGTTTTGATGATCTACTGCTTCCACATGACCCAGTTTGGGGAGAGGGCGCTTTACCAAGTAGATATATAAACTTTTAAAACATTGGGTATATGCTCATTTTTATGAGGAAATCTTAAGTGCAGATTTATACTGCACAACATAACCAGGATTTCATTTCTTTTTTATCGAATGTCAGACAGGTGTCTAGGAAAGTGGCCTGCTACATGTAATTCCCAGGCAGTTACCATCATCTACTGTCGGTTCCAGAATTGCTAGAGAAGCTCCCGGGAGGAAATAGCCAGGTAGAGTTGCAGATTTTAGTCCTCCTGAAAACTACCTGGGAGAGATGGCTAACATTTTAGACTCCAAGATCCACCACCTCAGAGACGCTAATTCATCGATGGAGCACACAAGCTTAAATTCTTAAACATGCAAGTAGACGTGAACACAGATGAAATAAATATTTCATTTGTAAATCTGTTTTTTTTAAAGTAATCTGCATTGCAATTTAGGCATAATTCAGTTCTCACCAACACCATGTAAATGAACACATTCCCTATATTTTATCCAGGTTTCCACCTCCTTTTCTAGAGAGTGCATCTAATTTGGGATCCCCAAATTAAATGATCTATAAATGCTAGTGGATATTTTATTTCCATAACAAGCCCAGCTCTGCATTGCATCATTTTTTTATGCGTATGGTCATCCCTAATATTAACTCAGTAGGAACCTCCCGATAGAAAAAAATTTGAAAAATTTCTTTCTTTCTAATGAAGTTTGATTATAGTTTGAGTTGATTAAGACAGAATGTTCTTATTAAAACTAACAGAGACATAACGAGTCAGGTTCTCTCCTTGCAGAGCTAAACCTCCCAAATGGCCCCGGGTGAATCGGTTTTCGTGAGTCCAGCGTTTCCTGGGAGTCATTTATACAGGAAGAGGTTCTGCCAATTTGAAATCATTTGCCACTAAAGTGATGAAATGAAAAAATGAATTTAGGCCAAAGACGTTCATTTTATGTCTCCTTCATATGCAGACAAAAAGTAAACTTCAAACTGAAAAATCAAGTCATTTAACCAGAGTATTACATCATTATTACTTAGGTCTATTACAATGGCTAATATCTATGCTGCCATGAAGACTCAATTAAAGGACGTAGATCAATTATGAACATGTTAGTCACATTAACATCATTTCAGATTCCTGATTTAAAGAGGTAGCCATGGCAAAATACAATCCATTTCTTAGTGTATCGATTTCTTGAGTCACCTTATCAAACAGCACATTTATTAAGTTGAGGTAATGAAGGTAATTTTTTTAATATGTTATAAATATAAGCTACAAGGCATCTTCTTTAATCATGAGAACTAAATTCCTGAATTACACCCTTATAGAATTCAGAGCAATCTCTTAAATGAGAAAGCGGAAAGGGAATGTTACCATAGCCATTGGCAATCTAATGTTTAATGTCTTGTTGTTTTCAAATACATGTGTTTTTCACACATTGAGGTGTAGTACTCATGATTGCTTATTTATTATTGTCTAATAAGTGTAGTAGAGTTAAACAGTAATATGAGAATAAAATCTGCATTTTCCAAGTTTAAAAGGATTTTTCTTGGCATGAAAATAAAAGTGGAAAATGATGATATGTTCACTGGTAGACATTCAATGAATTTTATAACAATAATAATTATAATATAATTAATTATAGTTTACAATGCAATTTGTGTAATTATATACTAAGCTATTTAATATTAAAAACCAATACTCTGGGACTTTACTTGTGAAAATAAAGATAAAAAATGAAATTTATACAAATTCCACTTCTATTTACTTTTCTATAGCCTCACAAATTTTTAAGTGCAGTGAATAGATTTAATTTGAACATTTCTAAAATTTCTAATGTGGCATAACTAACATCAAAATGGTACTTGAATGTTATTTAAAACAAAATTTTGTAATCTTCTAGAGCAGCAGTCGCCAGCCGGTGGTCCGTGGACCCTGGAGGTCCGGAAAGTTGGCGGCCGCTGCTCTCGAGGAGCGCGAGGCAGGTGTAGAATGAGCAAGTGGATAAGGAAAGCTCGCTGTTTCCAGTTTGTAGGAACCTGAGCGCAGTAGGAGGAGGTAGCCAATAGGACAGACATCAGTGACGCATGCTTTCTCTGGGAGTGATGTCAGTGACGTGTGCTTTCCCTGGGAGTGACGTCAGTGATGCGTGATTTCTCTGGGAGTGACGTCAGTGACGCCTGCTTTCCCTGGAGTCTGTCTGAAATTCCTCACCTGTGGTGCTTACAGAACACACTTCCTCTCCTGAACACGCTCTATAAAACGCACATCACAATTTTAAATGTGATTTTAAACGATCCATTCACTGTTATGTTGCTTATGTGACCCGTTACTCTAACGTTTGCTGTTGGTATTTTCTGTTGGTGGCTGTGATTGGCAGTTGCTATTTCTCAGAATGCTTTTAATTTTTGCTAGCCATCTGAAATACCAATTTTCCTGCTATGACATGTACGAAACAAAACAAAACGAGATGAAAAAACCCTTCTAACAATTTCCTTTTGGCTATCAGACTTAAACAAGAGTCATTTTTCAAACAGAAGAATAAGGACAGCAGATGTAATATCAAAGATGGGCTAAATAAACACCAAAAACAGAAACTGGGGCAGATACAGCTCCAGAAAAATGAATATTAACAGGTAAAAAGAAGTTGCAGCTCAGATACACATATAAGAAACACAGCCCTTAGGGTGAGCCCTGTCCCAACACTCTACTTTGTTTTACATCCAGCAGAGAAGCTGGTGCGAAGCAGGTGGAATGACAGAGGACACAGGCCGAGAGCAACGTACCTGAAGACCGATGGGACCAGGGGGTCCCGGGAAGCCTCTTGCTCCCTCATCCCCTTTCTGTCCAAACATCCCCTGCTGACCTCTGGGCCCTGGCTCCCCGTCACCTCCCTGGCGGAGAACAAGGAACATGATCACAAACTGGGAAGATGGTGACTGGATACACGTCATCATAAAGTATAAGTGCTTCTGGTGGAATCCAAGCTGGTGTAGGCAGGAGTAAACGAGTAGCAAGTGGATTAAGCTTCCATTCTCTGCTGCAAATATCCCAGTGTTTGTTTTGTTCATATTCTTTGTTTCTGGGATACGGCTGATTTTAATTTTCTTGTGTATGCCAAGTGAAGTAAAAGCTTTGGGGGGGGCAGGAGGGGGGTAAGAGATCAACTGAAGGACTTGTATGCATGCATATAAGCATAACCAATGGACACAAGCCACTGGGGGGTAGGGGAGGCCGGGGGAATGTCAAGGGGGATAAAAAAAAGGAGACATACATAATACTCTTTGTAATACTTTAAGCAATAAAACAAAATAGAAAGAAAGAGAGAAAGAAAGAGAAAAAAAAGCTTTGTTATAAGGAAAAATAACGCTCAGCATTGACTACAGTGTACTTCCCAACTGGTTAGGGACTCTTGTGAGATGAAGTCACAAGGGCTTTTGTTTATAGAGATCAGCTTGGTAGCTCTGTTAGATCTTCTACATTTCAGTCCATATTAAGCATACGAACAATATCACATAGTCTGGCTATGCAACAGTTCATGAATTTAATCGGGGACTGTAAGGATTTAGGTGGGCTGGGCAAGGAGGGATACTTACAGCAATTCCGGGGGCGCCGACGGGACCCTGAAGACCTGGGGGGCCAGGGGGACCCTAAGGGGAGAGAAGAATCAGGAATTCTGCCACTGAGGCCAGAGAGTCTCAGGAGCCGAGGGCGGGTCGTTCTCTTCACTTGGCGATAAAAAGAAGTCTTTTCAGTGTAGCGCAGTCAACCACTATGGGCGTTCGTCCCTGAGACTCACAGGTGTGTGGCTGTATCCATTTTACATCAGCAGGTGGGAAAGCCACTCAGGTCTGTGATGTTGCAGGTATTTAGACATGGGTTTCTGTACTAACATAGATAGCGGTGAAGTTTCACATCTGAAAATTTTCAGAACACCGGTTCTCTTGAATGAGGGATGTATGAGTCAGAAGGAGCACATGAGAAGTTCACCTGTGTGCTGTCACTCTAAGTGCATGCTGGGAGGTGGGGCCCCTCTGCATGGGGAAGGTAGTGGTGTGGGGAAGTTAGACTGGTCCCCATATGTAAACACGTGGAACTGAGTGTTACTTAGTAAGTATACCAGGACTCCTTCTTGTGAACAATAGACTTGAGTAGGCTTCTTAGTCTTACAGGAATACATGTTTCTTGCTAACTTACATCTTATATGTCAATACTGAAAAGGCCTTATAAATCATCCAGGCACTAAAGAGAGTCATTGGATTAGCTTGTTCCTTAGCGTAGCAGCTCTGAGTTGGAAAAAGTGCTTAAAGCGAAGTTCCAGGGAACCCAAAACACTTTCAGGTGTGAACGAGGTCAACATTCTTTTCATAACAACGAAGACTTTACTTTGTTTAAACCACATGAAAATCTGAACTAATGATGGCAGGTAAAATTGCTGGTTGGGATTATTGCGTAAATCTGAATATACACTGAGTCTGATGTTGGCTGTGGGCTTGTCATCTATGGCCTTTATTAAGTTGAGGTATGTTCCCTCTATTCCCACTTTGCTGAGACTTTTTGTCATAAATGGGTGCTGGATTTTATCAAATGTTGTGTGTGCCTCTAGTGATATGATCATGTGGTTTTTATCCTTCATTTTGTTTATGTGGTGTATCACGCTTATTGTTTTACGGATATTGCACCAGCCTTGCATCCCCAGAATAAATCCCACTTGATCTTGGTGTGAGATCTTTTTAATGTGTTGCTGGATTTGGTTTGCTAATATTTTGTTGAGGGTTTAAGCATCTATGTTCATCAGGGACACTGGCCTGTAATTTTCTTTCTTTGTCATGTCTTTATCTGGCTTTGGAATTAGAATAATTCTGGCCTCGTAAAGGGAGCTTGGGAGTCTGCCCTCCTCTTGAATTTTTTGGAATACTTTGAGAAGGATAGTGGAAACGGGTTTTATTAGAATCGACTGAATTCAAAGTAATATTGGATATAAACTCTAATTGAAAAATAAAATGTAAATTAAAAAATGGAATTGATTGAATCCCAAATGTTATAGTGTTGATGTGATAATCTTCTGATACATAAATAAGCAGTACTAATTCTCTATCCATGGTTATCAGCAGCAGGAGTTAAGTGAATGATGCCCCCTCACTACAGCAGGAAACTCACGTTTTCTCCTTTGTCGCCCTTGCTGCCTTTCTGTCCGGGCTCACCGATTTCACCCTGTATTGGAAAATTCGAGGTAAAGTTTATCTGTAGTATGCCACACCAATGCACCATCATCACTATTATTTCCCTATTAAATCTGATGTTTACATAATTGCAGGCTAGCCCTTAATGTCCCTGTTTCAACTGTACAAGGCAGGTTCCCTCCGCTTCTCACTGTCTGGTATTGACTAAAACACAACTGAAGTCAACTCAACCTGGAGGAATATTGCAATAGGATTTTTACTTTATAAAATCCATTTTGTCTGAAAAATTACCATGATTGATAACAGAAGTACATGGATTTATTAAAAAATGTATAATTACATGGCAATGAAAAAGTATTTTTCTCCTAGTTTCCAAAATGTTGCACATTATCATAGCATTGGTTCACCAGTGTTGCTATAGTGCCTCACAATAACATTAGACGATATATAACTTCAGACACAACATCACAGCTATACGTTCAGAATGAAGAGCTCAGAATCTTTTATGTTAGTAAAAGAGAGAGGGGTGCAGGATTATCAGACATGTCTGCAGCCCATTCCTAAGTCTTTACTCTGCAATACCCAAGACGAAAGGGCTGGGTGTACACAAGTAATTGATGACACTGATTTCACATTTATTCCAAAAGCCTAGGTATTCACACACAAATGAGCAATTTGGGCACCTTCTACTTTTTCCTCATCCTCTTTGTTCTTGTGCCTGTTCCCTGTCCTTGTTCATATCCCACCTATTTCATGGATGTTTACTAGCCCCCAAAATCTGAAATAAAACTTTGGAGCCCACACCAGATGCATGAAACTTTAGAGGAGGCACCTTCAGATCTGGGGTCTAGTCCTAGGTTAACACGTAGGGTTCTTGAGGAAAAGCCACTTTCACAGGATACACGACGAAGAGGGGGGACCCACCTTGTCTCCGTCCTCCCCGGGGGAGCCGGCGGGCCCAGCCGGCCCCGGGAGCCCCACGGGGCCTTGCACTCCGTCCCTGCCCGCGGGGCCTTGGGGCCCCTTCTCTCCCTGTAATTGAAAAGCCAACAGACCGTCACTTTGTGGTGAGAAACCTGCACATTAGCTGTTCGCTACAGATTTAAGGAGCAGCGCTAACAGTCACACTCCAGCTTCCAGATTTGCAAGGAAATTGCCTAAGTTCTCAAGAAAAGAGTATTTTGTAAAGGAGGACGCAGAAAATCCACCGCCTACTTCCCAGCCAGGACGCTCTCCTTGGTAACGAGGTACGAATCGCGGGCGATGGCCCACAGGTCTGATCGAATCATCTTGGAATTTTTATTTCGAGCACACATTTCCTAATCAAGTTCCGAATATCCATAAATCGGATGCTTGATGTTTGCAAAAACTCGCTGAGCCTTTCTTCTTGGAGAAAGCTTTTATTTCTTGGAGGGTGATACCAGACACTGGCCTTTAGGGCTGAAAATGCATGAAAACACATTTGCTCACTGCCCAACCTGGCAATAGGTTTTGTTTGTGACCTTCCTTGTATTTTTAATAAATGTTTCATGCATATTCTACAAAGTGATTTAGAACTACAGTTTCACCTGATCCCCACAAAATATTGTGGCTATCTTCTTTTCTGTCCAAGGGGGCATGGCCTCATTTTAACATTCTAAATGTTTCTGAAAGGTAATCGTTTACAGAAAACAATCATTTTAATTTGGAAACCTTTGAATAATATCACAAACAGTAATGAGAGCAAATGCTTGGACAATGAACTCAACTAGTTTAATCTAAAACTAAAACTTGCTAAAACTAAGTCTTCGTGATAAAAAAAAGTATTTTTAAAATTATAGGCTTAAACTAGATTACATATTTCAAGACTGACATGTATACAAATCTATTAAACTCATATTTTTGCATATGATGTCTGATTTTCATCTACATTTACTGAATGAGTTTGTGTTTTCATCTTGGAGGATGAGAGAAAGCTTTCATTTTTTAGAAAATTAATATGATTACATCAAAAGCAGGAACCAAAAGAGGGAAGAGATCTTGACACAGCAACATAAACCTAGTGAAGAACAAAGTATAGCTTATGATCACGAGTATAAAAATTTAAAAATCCAATACATGTGCGATGAAGTAACTGGTCAGATGTTCCCATCTCGTTCACTGTAGACCCAAACTCAAATCGCATGAGAAGAGCCGCCACTCCCTATGGGTTTCACTTGCATGAAAATGATTGGAAATAAATTTGTACTGCCCTGGCTGGTTTGGCTCAGTGGATAGAGCGTCAGCCTGCGGACTTAAGGGTTCCAGGTTCAATTCTGGTCAAGGGCAATGCCCAGTTTGTGGGCTCGATCCCCAGTAGGGGGCGTGCAGGAGGCAACCAATCAGTGATTGTCTCTCATCATTGAAGTTTCTCTCTCCCTCTCCCTTTCTTTTTGAAATCAATAAAAATATATATTTAAAAAATAAAGTTGTATTACAAGAAGAGAGAAAAGTGCACTCCTTTCTAAAATATAGTGGTAAGGTATAGTTTTAATCAAAACTCCAATTTTATTTTTTTCTTAAAGGAGCCAAATCAGAAGCCTTTTACATTAATAATATCCAACTCCCTCACAGAATTAGGGTTTCATAAAGTGTGGAAAAATATCAGCTCATTTCATTGAATTTGAAATATCCTCTCCTATAAAAATAAAGAAGTGTGTTTCTATGCCAGGCACATAGGCAGTGAGAACGCAGTGGCGTGTGAAGAGCTAATATCCTTGAATAAAAAGTAATAACTTTTGCAGGGCGGCAGGATAATATGTTTTTCTCCTTGAAATTACTTACAGGAGCACCTTTCTCTCCGGCTGGACCAGGGGGACCCTGGGGTCCTGGACGCCCCGGCAATCCGATGGGGCCTGCGGTGCCCGCCGACCCCCGCTCCCCTGGGGAGCCCTGTACACGGGAGAAAAGGCACGGGTTACTAGTGCTGGGACAGGTGAAGCAGGCTTAGGAATCAGGGACCGAGCAGTGGGGTCTTACAGTCCACAGTGCAAGGTCACTTTTAGACAATTACAAAATCTCAAGCAAGAACAGGTGTGTTCACTAGTTGAAAGATTAATTTCTAGTCCAATACCAGAGTTAGGAAATATTATTAAGATAAAATAATTTCAAAGGCACATATACTTAATTTTTTGAAGATGTTATGTATTTTTCATTTAAATGTAAAATTATTATACAATTAGAGGTATGCATTAGTCTTTTTATAAAGTCTGTGAACATGATGGCTTTAAAAAATATAGGATCTAAATGTACTCATGTGTAGTCAATAGAAATTTCCCAGATTTTCAGGAGAAAAAACTCCAGTTGAAGGTGTATTTTCCTGAAATGATGTGGTATATAAATTAAGACAAATATATGTTTCCTTAATTTAATACCTGATGACCGGCAAGTACATGAAAATAACTTATGGCTTTTACTTAAGAATGCTTGTTAGTTTTATAGTGAAGTATGTCTAATATTTAAAATCAATCAAATATTTTCATGTATATGAGAGAGAAAGAATGCTGATTTGAATCAATGACAATGCCCACAGTTGGTAGGTATTACGTAATATTTTTACTGTACAAAGCTGAGCTAGTTTAATGACTCCCTGGGAGTATTAATAAGATTACATTTCAGATTGCCATCTGGCCTGTGAAACCTGCATTAAAATTAACCATGAAAACATATTACTTTTCTGTAGTTAAAACACTGCTCATGATAATGTCACAGCTCATTCATTTCAAAACAACGGATGGAAACTTTTTCCATGTGTATTTGCTCCCAAAAGTACAGCTGCAATTTCCTTTTGTCAGTTATTTCAAACATTCTGTAAGTCTAGATATTTTTAATAACAGCGTGCTCTTCACTGATTTCATTTTATACGTCCATAAATGAAAAGGGAAGATCTCCAGTGATAGTGGCGATTAAGCAAATCCTATTAAAACTTGCCAGTCTCACTGGAAGATCCCCAGGCCGACTTTGAACAGAATAAACCTATGCATCCTCTAGTAGCAGCAGAATCACTAATGAGGTCCCATTTTTTTAAATGAAAATTTAAACCCAATAATGAAAAGAGAACCCATTCACACGTTCCACAAAAACACAGTGAGAATCCGAGTCGTGTGCCTGGGAATACAAAATGTATTATGGTGGGTATCAGCCCTTGAACAAACACATCGCAATGCGTTTTCCCATAAAGTGTAGACATTTGTAGTGATGGAAATTACTGCGTTTCTCTGTAACTGGCTATAGTAGAAACGGAGGGTGTGATAATTGTCAGATAAATAATTGCATCTAAAAGGAACATGTTTGGGTTTAAACGTAGCTTAAGCGGATGATGATAACCTCCACAGGGGTAAAATTTTTTGGGGGGTTTTCTCTCCTCACTGATCTCCAGCAATTCACGTAACTGCGGGCACACAGTAGGCCCTCAGTAATGTGTCCACTGTGTGTATGGCCTTTTCCTTCCCAGCACTGGAACCACTAGCCTCCTCCCACCGAGAGCAAAACCATTCGCTCCTCCCTGACTCACTCTTCCTTGGAGATTACAAGGAGTTTAGATCAGAAGCCAAATCAGCCTGATAACACATCAAGCAATGCCACCAGTTAGAGCATAAGTTCTGAGCACAAACTCCAAGTCTTGTACCCTCTCAGCCTCTGGCCATTGACCCGCACCATCTCCATCCTTCGCTCCTTCCTGCTTGGATGTAACCATCTCCTGAGCTCCACCCGGGTCCCATAGAGAGAACCTGCTTTATCTTTAAAACTACAGCACGTGACGCAATTAGTCTGTAGGTGTAACCCTTCTAAGAACTTCGGCTTCCTTGTTTGAGGAGTAAGAGGAAGGCATTGAGAAAAAGGTCCTCTGGAATGGGATGCAGGGGAAACAGAGTGAATAGGAACTGGATAGGAAGGGTTTAAACTCCTAAGGAAAAGTCAAGGGGAAGAAGAAACATTAGCACAGAGCGAGGAAGAGCCAGGCCGCAGGCTCGGGGAGGGGCCTGACACAGGAGCCACAGGAAGGAAGAGGGTGGACTGTGCGACGGTGCAGCTCACGCCATCATCTCCCGCAGCTGTCGGCCCCTCATGCCCTTTCTCCATCTGGGACCCCACTTCTCCAGGAACAAAGCAAATGTGGTCGTAAAACTCTAGCTTGTATGCCACACACGACTACATTTCTGTGAATCACCTCGTTTTCTGAGAAATGATGATGGTGACGAAGGGGATGCCGTATCAGAAAAAAAAAAAATAGAGGTTATTTAGGGAATGCATTTTCCTTGGTGTTGCTTTCTGGTAACAGGTGGCAGACGCCATCTGAGAATTTGCTCGCGCAATATATTTGTGCGCATTGTGCGTTTACATAAATGTACAGCACGGCCCAGCTTACGCTCAGCACGTGGGGAAGGCCACACCGCCCTCCCCTCTGGCCGGCCAGCCCCTGCTGCTTCTGCTGGGCGCGCAGGCAGGCGGCCACTCAGCGGGCGAGCCTCTGAGGCGGGAAGCGTGCCTGAGCCTCGATGGGCATCTATTACCAGCTCTCGGATGCCACACGGAGCACCTGATAAGCACACGGAGGTGCCAGACTTCAGAAGCCCAAAGTCACGGCATCCTGTTGGGATCATTTTGTTTGTCGTCAGTGAGAGCATTAAAACAATGTTTCTTACCCATCAGCAGATGAGTGGATTAAAAAACTGTGGTACATCTACATAATGGAACACTATGCTGCTATAAAAAAGAAGGAACTTTTACCATTGGCAACAGCATGGATGGAGCTGGAGAGCATTATCCTAAGCAAAATAAGCCAGTCAGAGAAGGATAAATATCACATGATCTCACTAATATGTGGGATCAACATAATTTGATTAACAAGAATAGATGGATCCAGAGACAAATGGGAAAGGTGGGGGGGGGGGGTTAGAAAGCAACCAAAGGACTTGTATGCATGCATATTAGCATAACCAATGGACACAGACAATGGGGCGTGGGGGCTTGCCCGGGGTGGGAATGGCTGAGGGGGGGGGGTGTCAATTGGGAAAAAAAGGAGACATATGTAAAACTTTAAACAATAATAATAATAAAAAAATGTTTCTCACCCGGCTGGCGTGGCTCAGTGACTAAGCATCATCGACCTATGAACCAGGAGATCCCAGTTCAATTCCCGGTCAGGGCACAGGCCCAGGTTGCGGGCTCCATCCCCAGTGTCGGGCGTGCAGGAGGCAGCCGGTCCATGATTCTCTCTCATCATTAATGTTCTATCTCTCTCTCCCTCTCCCTTCCTCTCTGAGGTCAATAACAATATATTTTAAGAAAAAGGTTTCTCAATACACATTTACTCCCAGCAGCCAAACTTCAAAAACACTACAATACCCCAGTTCTGCACTCCGATGACCTAGACAGCAGTGAGCCCTTCCAGACTCTGTTTAGACCCAAAAACTAGCTTTTCATCAAATGATCTTTTATTTATGGCTCCAGTGCCAACATCATTCCTTTAGGCAAAAATCATTTTTCTCACCTTGTCTTCTTTGTTCTGTCTTTTAATATATCACTTATTTATTATTTGTTATTTTACCTATTTCCTACCTGGCTTCCTCTGTAAGCCATAGCTCTTTGTAGGAAATGCCCACTTAGTGAATCTATATAACGTCAATGGGTCTTGTCCAGAATTTTAAAATATTGACTGCAATAAAATATAACAGATAATGTGAAAGTATATTACATGTACCGTTTCATATAGTGAGTTGTACTCAAAAAGTCGTAAGCAAAGAGTTATCTCTCTAGTGTGTCTGTTTTGACTCTGATTTCTGTAAGCTGAAGCACAAAGATTCCAATTTTCATAATTTATGAAAATATATACCAGGTAACTGATCGCGAAATTACAAATATTCTCAAGCTAGGATTCGCAAGAGGTTTTTCTGGAGGTATTCATATCGAGGGCCCTGTCTAAAGCGATCTCCTGTCCTCAAACAGAACCAGTGGTTGATGCAAATCTAGACGTCGCTGTCCCACTGCACACCCCCCCACCCCCGATGTCACAGCGACGGGGCACAGACAGCCCACTCTGGGTTTCTGACTGAATGAATTATAAGGAAAGAGAACGGGCGTCCAAGGATTCAACCTGCCCATTTGCTTAAGTAGTTTAATCTCTGATTCATTCAAATTAAGTAACTGTTATAAAGAGCACAAGTAGGAGTAGTAAAGCCCAGTGAGCTGGAATACGAGCTCCTCTAACTCTCTTCCTTTTGACACAGTTGCTCACAGGAGTCGGGAGAATCAAGAGGACTTGGGCAAAGGATACTAAGAGGAGAGAACCGAAGACGTTTAGAGTGAGAGATGCACAGCTGGAAAGGAGTCTATGCAATGTGCTGGGGTGGCTCTTTGTCGTCAAAGGTCTATAAACTCGGGCTCATCATTTACCTTCTCTAAGCCTCAGGTCTCTCACTTTTAAAAAGGGAATAATATCTACCTGGCCAGGTTATAAACGCCATTAAGATAATGATTGTAAAGTTCATAGCATTAATAATTGAAAGACTAAACACTTGCGATATCATTTCATTTTCTATTTCATTTACCCTTCACATTCTCTATTTACATTCTTTCCCCCAAGAATTCTATTTAGTACCTTTTCCTTCATCTGAGTAACAGCAAAATCTCCATCCCTCTCCACCCCTGTGCGTCTCAATCCTGCACGTACCGTTACTTAGTCAATACCCTGAAGGTAACGTTAATAAAACAGACTCTGGCGATTGGGATCAAATTGTGACGATAACCCGTTGATCACGATAAGGAGTTTGGATTCCGAAGGCAGCGTGGGGCCGTGAGATATGTATAAGCAAAGCAACAGCATAGCTAAGGGTGTGTATTCAACTAGAATCGGGGGAATCGGGGGGAACCACTGGCTGAAAAGGGGAAGAAAGTGAGACACAATTAAGCAAGGAAACAAAGGAAAGAGACTGGACAAAGGCAGTGGTCGCAGAAATTAAGAAAAGGGGGGAAATTAAAGAACATTTTGAATGTGGAACTAAAATGACCTCAACATGTGTAAGGAAGTTGAGAGACAATGTGAGGCAACCGTTAGCTTCTGAGATGGATGAAATAAAACGGAGCATGAGAAGAGGCCACTGAACTGGGCAGCTCGGCTGTTACTGTTAACCTTTCAGGGTACAGCTAAGAACCAGGATGAACTGATGGAGAGCCGTGTTAGATTGCTTTCCTAGGGGTTGGTCAGGTATCTCAAAAAAGGAATCTGATATTTACTCATTTGCCAATTATTTGATGTGGTTGCGTTAACTAAATAAAGCTATCTGGAGAATGTATACATGGATATACACGTTTCGTGCTTCTGCGATGTTTAAATAAGAATTGATAACATTCCAGTCTCACCGAGTACTCAGAATCAGACAAATTACTATTTCCCTCCTGACAGCATGGAGGAGCAGTATTTTCAGTCCTCTGAACTCTCTGTTTCTGCACTCATTAGTGCAAGCAATTAGCAGCAGCCCAGCACTGGCTGGCTTGATTGACACGTGTTTATTTCTCTCCGCACGCCGTGGGATCACAGCGGGAGGATAATGAAAGGAGAGGTGTAATTGGCAGCCGTGGCTGGCACGGTTGTTTATTACAATCATACTTACCACTGGACCTGGTGGGCCCTGGGGACCCTCTCCTCCTTTCAGGCCAGGTGTACCCTGGGAAAAGCGGGGGAAACCGAGAAAATGAATTGGTGCGAATTGAATATAAATTAAAGGACAGCATGACTGGTAAAATGAGGGTGTGGGAAGTGTTTTTAGACACAAACACATATTGCGATATAGACGATCATCCATGCATATGTTGACACATTTCCCTTTCATTAGTCACGAATCTTTATTTAGTTAAAAAAAGAAAATCAAATGTTTCGCCCTAACCGGTTTGGCTCAGTGGATAGAGCATCGGCCTGTGAACTCAAGGGTCCCAGGTTCGATTCCGATCAAGGGCATGTACCTTGGTTGCGGGCACATCCCCAGTGGGGAGTGTGCAGGAGGCAGCTGATCGATGTTTCTCTCTCATAGATGTTTCTAACTCTCTATCCCTCTCCCTTCCTCTCTGTAAAAAATCAATAAAATACATTTTTTTAAAAAGCAAATGTTTCTAATAAGCAGTTTCATTCACGGTGATGGTACCTGAGCTCCAGGGAGACCTCGTTCGCCAGGGAAACCGCGGAGACCTGCTGGGCCGTCTTTCCCCGAGACGCCTTGAGGACCTGGGTCGCCCTAAGGGGTAGAACATACATCCGTCATAGGGAGCGATTTCCATACATGTGACCACAAACAAAACTGTAGCTCCCCCTATCATGTCACAGTGAGCACATGATGGGAAAGGCCACAGACATTAAAATAAAGTACCCACGACTTATATATATTTCATATGAATATAAATGGATGGTTTTATAGTCAATGAGCAAGCTTTTTATATCATTGTTCGGTCATGCCTTGAGGTACAGCCAAGTGCGTATTTCAGTGACGTTTCTTTCTGACGTTCATGGGAACGCCCCACCACCGTGTAGTTAGCCCAACTATGACCAGTGACACGGAGCTGGAGTGAACAGTAGGTGGATGTTGCCGGCCAAGAACATCCTTGAGCATCTGTACCTTTGCACCTTCTTTTCCTGCAGCGCCAGGAAGGCCTTGCTCACCAGGCGGCCCCGGGGGGCCAGGATGTCCGCGTTCGCCCAGGGGGCCGGTCTCGCCAGTGGGCCCCTCAATGGAAAGGCAGAACTCGTTAGATCGCGCTTTCATTTTTTGCCAAGATAACACAAACCCCACATAGTGCATCGTTCTCATTCACTTGCATGAGGTCTATTGTTCTCAGTGAATTTCAGGATGCCCCACAGAACACTTCCCATAGAGCACTGGCAGTGCCGTGTCTGGCAGGAGTCTGAAAAGATGACGTGTACTCTTAGAATCAGAGTGTCCAAGGGAAAGCTATTAAAAATGGAAAGAGCTGCTCTCTTTGTTCAATACCAGAAATCTTCAGAGTGAGGTCAGTCCGAGTGCTGTAAAAAGCTATGGTTTCTAACTCTAGTCTGTCCCCTTCTCTCTTGTTGTCTAGGTATCAAATAGGAATGAAGAAAAAAAACCATTGGGACAATGGTAGCTACTCAATGAATCACGGCTTGAAATTGAGCTCAGGTTCCCAGGAACCCAAACAACCAACATGGTCCCCCTTGGAATTTCCCGAACGGAGCCCTCACTGTTAATCTACAGGCATCTGACAAAGTCTGGCGAGTGGCAGGGGGTCCTCAGGCCATGGGTTTGGGCTGGCAGTTCCTCCCGCCCGAAGGCTGTAACAAATAACCCGCTGCCTTAAACTGCTGCACATGCCACCGTGAAAAATGCCAGGTCATTCACGTGTCCCCGAGCGCAGCTGTTCTGTGGCGAGAGAGTTTAATGAGCTCGCAGGAGGATCCAGAGAACGGAGACCAGCGCTCTCTGTCTCCGCTTAGAACAAGGCCCCGGAAGGCACGAGACTAAAGATGCGTAAATGCAAAGTGCGCAGATGCTGTGCTTGTGGGAGGGGAGTCTTCCTACAACCTGAAGATGCAACTGGTTCTTACCTTTCAGTCCTGGATAAAGAACCAGATGCCCCATATTGGAATGTACATTTTTAGGTTTAAATTCCTTTAATTATATAGGGTGTCCCCCCCCCAAAAAAATGTATACACACACTTTGGATAATTATGAAGGCAGTGTGTGTTTTTTAATACATTTCATTTTCAAAACCAAGCTATCAGCTGTTCAAGTGTGTATACATGTTTGGGACACCCTGTATATTACTGCAAGTCCCCACCTTACCATCAATAGGCAATCATTTCCCCCGAAGGAAATTTCCCTTCAATTTTTGATCAGAATTTAATAGTAAGGAATGTAAAATGGAACCTAATTTAATGGCCATCACCACTGAAGACAAAAATGAGCAGTGATTCACACAACTGGGCCAAAAAAAAAAAAAAAGTGACTGGCAAGGACTGCAATCAATATTGCTCCTTTTAAATCACACCCTTTGTCTTAACATGAAAATGTGATTACATTTGAAACAGGCCATTGGTTTTTCTTTCTCAAAAGTACCAATAAAAATAATCCAATGAAGATGCATACTCAATACATCACCTGCTAAAATCATTGTTATGAAGACAAAAATCTTAAGATACAATATATTACAAATGTTACATTTTTAGAATAAAATTGGATCAAAGCCTTATATTTCTAATCCACTTCTAAGTGTAATTTATACTCAGAAGACTAAAGTCATTTTGTAACTTGAAATTCCGGGAACAGGGGATGGCCGGCCTCGTTAGCAAGGCATTGTGGGTTTCCAGCAGATGCTGCCATGGCCAGACTTTCACTACACTGAATTTTCTGACTTATTTTTAAGATTTTTCCTTCTATTTTACTCACTCAGTTCAGTTAGAAATCACTTTAGCTAAGCAATAATTGCTGAAGTTCATTTGATGTAAGCAACATGCATATATTACAATGCTATTGAAATACAAAAAGGCCTCATTTCAATCCTAATAACTGGCAGAGGCGAGAATAGAAACAGAATAAGGCGCGTCAGGGAAACAGAGTGTGGGACATACCTGTGGTCCAACAACGCCCCCGGGCCCAGGGGGGCCGGTCTTGCCTTGAAATCCCTGAAGAGAGAAAGCATAATCCATCAAAGCTCTACAGCAGCGGTTCTCAACCTGGGGGTCTCGACCCTTTCACAGGGGTCGCCTAAGACCATCGGAAAACACATATATAATTACATATTGTTTTTGTGATTAATCACTGCTTTAATTATGTTCAATTTGTAACAATGAAATCGGGGGTCACCACATGAGGAACTGTATTAAAGGGTCGCGGCATTAGGAAGGTTGAGAACCACTGCTCTATAGGGTAGGACACATAAATTAAAATTCTCCGAGATAATGGAACACCGCACATGAAAAGGAAGTCACTGTTGGCTAAAACACTTAGTGTGTCATTATTTTCCTGCTCTTTAAAATTCAAAATTCACGTGCATTATTTCACATGACAGTCCAATGGCGACTTTCAATAAGCTCAGAAAACGGAGTAAGACCCTGGGATGAGCCTGGAGTGGAAACATGTCCTCAGCCCTGCTGTTCAGGTCAAACAAGATCATTGTCACCCAGCGCTGCTGACGGGCGGAATCAATGAGGATGGCAGACGCTCTCCCCAACAGGCCCCCCGATTCTGAACGCAGACATGAATCCACAGTCGATGATGTCAAAGCCCTTCTCCTTCCTGCATCCCAACAATCGTGTAAAATTATATTTATAACAAGAATACTTGAGCCCAGCCAGTGTGGCGCAGTGGTTGAGTATCAACCTATGAACCAGGAGGTCTCGTTTCGATTTCCGATCAGGGCACATGCCCGGGTTGCGGGCTCGATCCCCAGTAGGGGGCGTGCAGGAGGCAGCCGATCCATGATTCCCTCTCATCATTGATGTTTCTATCTCTCTCTTCCTCTCCCTTCCTCTCTGAAATCAATAAAAATATATTTTTAAAAAGGTATAAGAAAAAGAATACTTGACATGATTAGTAAACATCTCAGCATTTGATCAGTGTTCTTTATTAAAACCCCAAAGAATATACTTAGAAATGTATCTTGCATAGGATGAGTCATTAAGGAAGAACCTGCTATATGTTAGCTGCGTGCACTGGCTAAATCATGCCTTTGGGCTATATTTGGTATCTGTATTTCTCCAGACTCATGGGTTATTCATTCTGCATGTCTGTATTATGGTTGGCAAGTGTCTTTCTCATGTGAGTGAACTTATGTTTAACAGTTGGAGAAATAAGACTCCAAATACTGAGAGAAAAACCTTCCAAAGAACTGAATTAAAGCATATGGTATTTGCAAGGTTTATTCACTATAACATCAGATGGAGATAATGAGGTCAGAGAGCGCCCGGCTGGCGTGGCTCCGTGGCTGAGCGTAGACCTATCAACCAGGTCACTGTTCAATTCCCAGTTGGGGCACATGCCCGGGTTGAGGGCTCGATCCCCAGTAGGGGGGTGCAGGAGGCAGCCGATCCATGATTCTCTCATCATTGATGTTTCTCTCTCTCTCTTCTCCCTTCCTCTCTGATATTTTTTAAAAAATAAGTTCAAAAAGCAAAGGGCAGCCACAGGTGGCCCCCCATTTATATCACAACCCTCCAGGCCTGTAAGAATGGAACTATTATTCTGAGCATCTCTAAGTGCGTGTTACATGCCTTTAGTGCCAACGCCTGGTGACCCTCTGAATGAGAGTGTGCCCACATTGTCCTGTCTTCAGCAGCCCTGCTCAGCCCTGCATCCTCACGCCTGTGGCTTCCTTCCTGGAGCCAGTCACCTCACTTTTGCTCTCCCCCTTTAGCTGCTGCCTTCTGTTTTTCCCAGTGATAACCGTCTTTTCCAAAGAAACCCCCTTCTCATGATGTGCCCAAATGCGTCAGTTTTGTCATTTTTGCCACCAGCGATGTTTCAGGCTTCGTTTGCTCTAGGACCCCCTTGTTTGTCTCTCTTTTTAATAGCTTAGTTCAACTGAATCTTGTTTTTTCTATCAGCCTTCTTCACCGCCCAACTTTCCCATCCGCACATAGTAACTGGGAGTAGGAGGGTGTGGGTGGTCTTAGCCTTGGTCTCTAATGACCCCTCTTTGCTCTTGGCGATCTCCCCCGATTCTCCCATGGCTGCCCGGCACATCAATTCAAATGGTAGCTTCGGCCAAGAATTCAGCCTTCTCTTGAATTCTTGGCTGAAGCTACCATTTGAATTGATGACTAAATCAAGATCAGCAAAATCTTTAACAATTTCACTGTCCTCATTGTCTGTATTAGGATCAATACAGGACTTGGCACTGTGTTTCTGAGAGAAACTTGGGTTGCTTCAGTATAATAGAAACTATTTCTAATAATTCCCAGTGGTCTTAAAAAGCTTTGGATGGTAAAATGTCAGATTGAACTCTCAACTCAAGGATTTCTGACTGAGGACAAAATTCCAATGTAAAAAATATCCATTTTTATAAACGAGGTAACACATATATAGCAAAATACAGCTACTCTAAATTCTTGTATAAGGTAATCTTGTAAATCCCAGTCAGCGTGCACACATACATGCACATGCGCGCGCGCACACACACACGAGAAAGAAAGGTTCCTGGCAATAAGATTATTCACTATTGCTCTTAAAAGTGGATTTGGCCCTGCTGGCATGGCTCAGTGGATGAGTGTTGACCTATGGAGGTCACGGTTCCATTTCTGGTCAGGGCACATGCCCACATTGCGGGCTCGATCCCCAGTGTGGGGCGTGCAGGCGACAGCTGATTGATAATTCTCTCTCATTATTGATATTTTTTTCTCTCTCTCTACCTTCCTCTCTGATATCAATTAAAATATATGTTTTTTTTAAAAAGTGGATTTGAAATCTGAAATACAGTTTTCCAGAAATAATGCTAGCCTTTGTCTAGGAGAAACTACTCAATGAGAACATCCACCCTAGAATCATTAGTTAATATGCTATTTTCCCTCTTTGTTTAAATTTAAATATATAATATGGTTCCTCTGGAGAAAAGCAGAAGCTCTTATTAAATTGAAGACAAAAGGGATTTTATAATGAAAATTCTCTAGGCATCTCTCCCTTCACAGACATTTTGGGAATATTATAGAATTATTCCCACAACGCTCTACCAGGACTTGGTTAAAAATGATTGACTGCAATATTTAAATGAGAATGCATTTGCAAATTTGAATGTGGATTTTTCTTTAGAGGGTTTATTTTATGCTCTTCATGTAGCTATCTTTCCCGGGAGAAAACCCAACCAATTTTACTCTTTGGTCTCACTAAATCATTCTGAAATGTATTTTTGAAATCCAAGACTTTGAAGTTTACAATCTGACTAAAGAGAAAAAGTTCTTACACCAAAGAACTATCACTTGGTGAATGACACAAGACTACACAGAATATCATCATGTTTTCAGATTTGTTATCGTGGACTGTGACGCGACTCCAAATACATCTTCGTGCTCACAGAATGCCCTCCAATGTTTTGGAGCCTCATCCTCAAAGCTAGTCTGTGTGGTGATTTCCTTAAGAAATCTGGATAAAATTAACCAACGATGAGAAGCAAAATGGGATTCCAAGTCAACATGCTAATCCACAATGATTTCTGTTTAAACTCACACCCCACTGGCATAGCCTGACACCTGGTTTTGTGATGGTGGCAGAGTAAACCCACAAACCCGCCAGGATCGGTAAGGCATAGCTGAGCTTCCAGTGTTCCCTCTGCCCTACTCATGTCTTTAATGTTACACTGTTCATAACGTTAAATAACATTCAGCCACATGTTCCCATTCATATTTTTCTACTGGAGGCAAGAGGATGCATTTGACCAAGTTCCAGACCAATTATATAGCCTTGTGGTTTCAACATCAGAAAATATTGCATCCTTTTGTTCTGGAGAGAAGAATGTGTCACCTGCATGGTTTACTTTAATGTGTTTCCTTTAGAGGGTGGAGGGGTGATAGGGTTGGTTGAAATATATCTGTAAACAAAGACTTCAGTGAAAGGGCCAGGTGGAGGTGTCACAAAAATAATGGGGTCTCCCCATCAGCTCATCCCAAGATGCTGTCATTGACCATAAGGACAAGCAAATCAACTAACATCCCATGCCCTCAAGTCTGTCCTTTTAGGTGTTTAGATACAAACATGGTCCTATTTATGCATTTTAAAAATATATTTTAATAAGAGTTTCCATAGGCCCAGCGGCGTGGCTCAGTGATTGAGGACCAGGAGGTCACGGTTTGATTCCTGGTGAGGGCACATGCCTGGGTTGCGGGCTCGATCCCCAGTGTGGGGCATGCAGAAGGCAGCCAATCAATGATTCTCTCTCACCATTGATGTTTCTCTCTCTCCCTCTCCCTTCCTCTCTGAAATCAATAAAAATATCTTTTTTTTAAAAAAAAGAGTTTCAATAGAATCAATTTCTCCATTGCCCTTAACCTGGTAATTGAGCTGTTAAATAAAGTAGCTTTCTGTTCAATGATGAGGTGCTAGAGAAGGACAATTTCAATAGGAAGAGGGAGGTCACTTACAGTCTCTCCACGTTGCCCAGGGTGCCCTGGCAGGCCATCCTTCCCAGGTGGTCCCTGAAATCACAAATAAAAACACCACATGCTATAAATATGTATGACTTGTACAGTCTCATGCAATATGTTAGATAATTTTCTTATATTTTCATTAGATATTGTATTTTTGATGTTCTGTTGATTTCCTATATGGTAATTAATTAATATATGTGTATGTGTGTGTGTATATATATATACACACACACACACATACACATACATACATATATCTTTGGTATAATGCTATCTGAACTGAGACCAAGAGAAAATTGTACAACCCTAATCTGAACATTTTACATTTCAATTCTCTTCATTAGTAGTTACCTTTTTAAAAGGAATAGTGACATATATTTGTTTTTATTTTTGCAAAAATGTTAGTTCTTTAGTACTTGAAATATGAATATATTTTGTCCTTTTCTGATCAATTTTCAACCCATCAAGACTTGGAAAGGAGAGAGATGCAGTGCCCTCTAGTGGTGGTCTGAGCTTTTAACTGACAATTAAAAGAAACACACTCTATGTCAGGGGTCCTCAAACTACGGCCCGCGGGCCACATGCAAATACAAACATTGTATTTGTTCCCGTTTTGTTTTTTTCCTTCAAAATAAGATATGTGCAGCGTGCATAGGGATTTGTTCATAGTTTTTTTTAAAACTATAGTCCGGCCCTCCAACGTTCTGAGGGACAGTGAACTGGCCCCCTGTTTAAAAAGTTTGAGGACCCCTGCTCTATGTTATAAACAATGGCCGTTACCTCTCAATTGCTTCAAGAAAAGGAAAGAAGGGACTACGCTCAATTTTAGACATTATCAGGACCAATTTTTCCCAGTAGGATTTCTCAAATTTTCTTGGAAGCATCATGTTTGTTAAGCACTGGAGAGCAGGTCTACCCTGCTATCACTTTTTTTGTAGAGGATGCTGTCTTCGTCATGACCGAAGAAATAAATGAAGCAATTAACTAAGTACTTAAAGTAAACAACTCAGTGAGGTTCCTATGTTTCGGACACTTAGGAGCAATAGGCTGCTTCTTTAGGCTGCGTTATGAATTATCCATCCTCCTCAGAAGCCATTCTAAGGATCAGTTCACATTTCAAGACATGTTTATAGAGGTGGGCACACATAGCCTTGCCATTCTGGATAAATGAAGAAAACCCACCATTTTAATGAGATTTTAATGATGACAGATATACTTCTCATGATATGTTAATTATTTAAATACATCTCTGTATTTGTTTAAACAAATGCGCTATATACATAAATCTGCTTTGGAACATCATGCTTTTTCTATGTTGAGTTGGAATAAGGGGTTTATTTAGAAATAAGCTCATTTTCACAACCATGTCCTTCTCCATCAAAGAGATGAAGGCATTTCTTCCCTAAACATTATGCAAATGCATCCCGGAGAAATGATGGGTACTTCTATCTCATGCTCTAATGTTTCACTTGCCAGAGGAACAGAGTATAAAAACCACTCTGCTCTGCAGTGAAAGCATGTTCCTTAGCATTGTCGTGTCTCTCCAACAAGAGTGCGTTCCGTTCAAGTGGAGGCACTTACACTTCTAACGCCTCGTAGAGACAGAACGCATGCATGATCAATGGCTCCAAACTTGTGGGAAAGGCACGAGAGAACAGGCTGGAAAAGTCTGAGGAAAAGAGGGTCAAGTGGCTTTCCCTGACAATAAAGTTACATTGCACGAAGGGAAACAATCCTTAAACATATGCCCACGAGTAAACGGTGTGATAATGTGCAAGTTACACATGACACTAGTTTTTCTGCTGCTAAACAGTGGTCTATGCACGTGGCTTCGAAATACTCATGAAAAGAATCCTATGTGTAGCTATTATCCTACATTTAATATTAGCTATTTGCATTAATCTGTTTATAATGCAGTAATGCAGATAATCTGCTCTTGATCTGTTTGCAGTAATAAAACTGTAGTGTTAAACTAATATTTTAAACATACTTGTACATGTGTCTGTGTAGACTGCACATACTGTCTGAAATTATTGTAGAAGGCAAGAGACTGCCTTAACATTTACTATTCAAGTCAGTATTTCACAATAAATAATTCATCTTCTGAAGATGTGAGCTGAAGTCACATTTGAAAGTAACAGTGAAATAGAGGGTTGTTCAAACTCAATAAGAATTGGAGAACATATGTATTTATTTATAAATTATTTTCAACATGTTTAAATATATAATGTAATCACATATAACATTTATTTAAAATTTTAACATCTTAATTTAGAATGTTCTGAACGGCTCCTTTTTGCAAGACTTGTACTGAATGCACCAAAGACCTATTGAATCAAAATCTACATTTTTAACAAGGTGCCAACATGATCTGTGTGCACATTCAAGTCTAGACAAGAACAGTGGTGAACAGAGTTGAGCATTTGTCAGAACTACCTGGAGACTTTGCTAAGAACACCCCCCCCCGCCCCGCCCGCCCCTGAGGCTCTGAGCAGGTAGGTGAGTGAGGCTGGGACAAGACTGCATTTCTAACAAATCCCAGGAGTGCTGATGTGCTGGTCTAGGGACCACACTTTCAGAACAGCCTCCTTAGACGGGTGATGCTATGGCCAAAAAGCTGTATCACCCCAAGTTTGTATGTTAAAACCCTAACCCTTGCCTGAATGGTGTGGCTCCGTGGTTGAGTGTCTACCTAAGAAGCAGGAGGTCACGGTTTGATTCCCTGTCAGGGCACATGCCCTGGTAGTGGGCTCGATCCCCAGTAGGGGGCGTGCAGGAGGCAGCCAATGATTCTCTCATCATTGATGTTTCTTTTCCTTCCTTCCTTCCTTCCTTCCTTCCTTCCTTCCTTCCTTCCTTCCTTCCTTCCTTCCTTCCTTCCTTCCTTCCTTCCTTCCTTCCTTCGCAGCCAATGATTCTCTCATCATTGATGTTTCTTTTCCTTCCTTCCTTCCTTCCTTCCTTCCTTCCTTCCTTCCTTCCTTCCTTCCTTCCTTCCTTCCTTCCTTCCTTCCTTCCTTCCTTCCTCTCTCCCCCCCCTCCGCCTTCCTTTCTGAAATCAGTATTTTTTGTAAAGACGTAACCCTTAAGGTAATGTTATTGAGGGGAGACCTTCGGCAGGTGACCTACAACAGATGCTCCAGAGCGCTCCCTCATCCCCTCCACCAGTGAGGACACAGTGAGAAGTCTGAGAACCACATGTATTTTGAAGGGCACGTTGGCTATCACAGTGTTTTATGCCATGAGTGGTATGAGTTGCAGTAGAGGAGTCATTGAGAGAGAACAATATTCATGTTGGTCTAGTCTTTGATACACTTTGAAAGAATATTTAGTAAGATATAATTACATGATGACCAGAAACACTCAGTAAACATCACAAAGTGAAAATATCTGTAGAATGTGACGTCATTCATTGCAATTTTGTTTTCATAGGAATTGTCATCAATGTGTGTATCTGGGAAATGATTTCAACATAAGCTATGACTCTCAAAAATGCAGCACATTCTCACATGAAGAAAGACAGAAAACTCTCACTTACAGGAGGGCCTTTTGGTCCTGGGAATCCAACCGGACCCTGAGGTCCTTGAGGGCCCTGAAAGTCAAGAGCAGAGGGGACACTTGAGAACACGCCTTACAACACGCCTTGACACCTCGCGGGTTGTGTCTACAGATGAAGCACACGAGCACGTAGCTTCTTCCCCACGTTGACGACTATGGCAACACACGAGATCACCTGGCTCAGCCAAGAGCGAAGGGGATGCTTTTCACACGATTCAGCACCCAGAGCCACACGGCACGTTCACATTAAAGGTGTGAGCCAGGGCTGGGCCAGGAAGTTCCACAGACTCTCTGCTTTGACCATTAGCTAGATTCCAAATCCCCCAAAAGAAAAATTCTTTTTTAAATGGACTTTCTAACTATTCTGACTCTAGTCATATAAACTAAAAGGAAACAAATAAGTGATTTCCTCAAAAAGACCAGAGAAGATGCCTTTAACTAATCTCTGTACTTAAAATAGGTTATTTTTGAAGATTGTATCTCATTTTACTCACTTCCTCAGAGAAAATAAAGATGCAACACTGGGTCTTTCTTTATAACATTCCACAAGAGTGTTGACATATTCTTTTTGAATTAATCAAGAGTTTCCAGGTGGGGTAAAAAATACATAAAGACTCTGTAAAAATAGTATTGAAACTCAATGAGAATTGCCAGATAAAATACCCAGTGTCTAGTGAAATTTGAATTTTGGATAAATAATGATTTTAATATGTCCCAAATATTTCAAGGGACATAATTATGTCACGAATTATTCATTGTTTATGTAAAAGTTCACCTTAATTGGATGTCTCACTTATTTTATTTATTTTGATTTTGTTTTGTTTTTGCTAAATCTGGTCATCTCAGATCCAAATGAATGCTGAATTAACCAAGTGTTTACTAACAGGCACCCCTGAGCTGCAAATAACTGAGTATGAGTGATCATATTTAACTTGTAGGATATCCTATATTTTTATATTATTTCTATCATTTTTCAGTTGTGTGCCTAAGATGTAATTAAACAGTTCATTATAAAAATTCTTTGCAGAGAATGAGGGTACACTAGGGAGGAAATGTCGCACCAACTCCACAGAATACAAGAAATATGTTCTACATATTTAAAACATGTATAAATGTTTCTTGGAAAAATTTATTTTGGATCAGCCTTTAAATGTATCTTCAAAATATCCTCTTCTTGTTCTTGAAGTGTTTTTACAATTACACATAAGCATGCTATTGGGTCAGTACTGTGCTCCAAAATAAAACTGTGAAGACATGGTTCATCATGAAATGTTGGGAAGCACAAGTAATACGTAAAGAAACACTAGTTTGTGCTTTAAAGACAAAATTCCTAGTTGTGCTACAATTTCTTAAATGCTTCCACTCCATTCAGTGAGTCAGCCATCTTAGTTTGACTGTACCTTCTTACTAACATGACTTGGTCCATAAAAAATTTCAAAACGTATGTATTTATGAGCTCAAATTGTACAGGATGGACTTAATTTGAGGATAGTTCATCAATAGTGAGAAACATTTGGTAGGAAGTTTAATTTAGTTAAATATAAACCAAAGCTGGAAATGACTACAACTAAGGATTTATTCTTTTGTCTCATCTACTGATATTTGTCACAAATACCAACATTATTCCAAAAAAGTTTTACTTATTCTCAGTTTTAAGTTATACATTGTAGGATAGTTCTGTTTTTCTTTTTGTGAAACTTCTTTATAAATTTCAAAAAATAATATAAAATATGTCGTCTATGATTGCATTATTCTAAAAATAATTATAGAATATTTAAAGTGAGTCTAATTTCTTTCATAGTAATTCAATTTAATATTTAAAATTCTTTCAAGAGGATAGCTTTTCAAAATCTGACTACAAAAATGATCCTTTTTGCCAAAAAACTAAAATAAAATAAAGGGCATGCTTCGTCATGTGCATTTAGCTTGAGTTTACATCAGTTGGAAATAAGTAGTTTTTCTATTTACGGGAACAGATGTTTTATCTCGATGGGAGTGCACATGGGCTGTGATTTAATGGCCGCGGGGAGCTTGCATTGTACCAGCATCATGCTGCTGGCCAGCTCCATGGACATAATGAGGATCAACGTGTAACACAAAGTGAAGGAGGCATCGGTGTATGCGTCTGTTTAAAAGAAAAAAAGTTATTTTGGCTTGAGTTTAAGAGTGACATCTTGGACCAATTACACGTGTTATTTCTCTCATTTCTGTGACAAGCTCAGTGGCGTATAACCTGTGTGCAAAAGAAAGATGCACCCTGGCCGGTGTGGCTCAGTTGGTTGGGCATCGTCCTGTGCTCTTGGAAAGGTCGCTGGTTCGATTCCCTGTTGGGGCACACGCCTGGATTGTGAGCTTGATCCCCAGTAGGGGGTATATAGGAGGCAGCCCCATCAATTTTTCTCTCTCTCCCTCTCCCTTCCTCTCTAAAAATGAATAAAAATATTTTTTAAAAATAGAAAGATGCCGTAGCCAGTTGGCTCAGTGGATAGAGTGTCAGCCTGCGGACTGAAGAGTCCCGGGTTTGATTCCAGTCAAGGGCATGTACTAAGGTTGCAGGCTCCTCCCCGGCCTGGGCCCTGGTCAGGGCTTGTGCAGGAGGCAACCAATCGATGTGTTTCTCTCACATCGATGTTTCTCTGTCTTTCCGTCTCTCTTCCACTTTCCTTAAAAGTCAATGGAAAAATATTCTCGGGTGAGGATTAAAAAACAAATAAAAAGTAGGAAGATGAAACTTTCTTTAAGAGGAGTCAGTTAAAGACTAGGAATGTTTCAGCTCTCGCTGGGTTTTGTGGGCGGCCGTGGATGTGTGCTGCAGACACGTGTTCCCTTTCCTAGAAATGTAATCACTTGCAAAATCTTCGAATCGATTCTATCTGATGTGCCCGTCTCATACTTACTCTCTCGCCAGGAGGGCCTGGGGGGCCATCACCGCCCGAAGTGCCCTGCCAACAACAGAAGGAAAAACCTGGTGAGAGTCCTGCTCCCAGCATCGTCCCCGGACGGAGCGCTTACAGCGAAGCCCGAGGAGACAGGCGCGGACAGTACCTTCGGACCTGGCTTCCCAGTGGGGCCTCGCGCTCCTCTCGAACCCCGAGGACCCTGCAGAGAACAGAAGACCATGTCGCTCTCACGCCAAGCCAGAGGCCCTGGAGACATTGTTATTCCTGGAGAAAATCATCTGGGAACATTAAGTCCGAAACGAAAATGTGGGTTGGATGTAAGGTACCCACCGTGGGACCGCGCTGCCCGCGAGGGCCTGGCTTGCCCGCGACGCCCTGCAAAGACAGTTGAGACTGGGTCAGGGTTGGTGGGCACAGGGAGCCGGGCCTGGGCTGGGAGGGGGCCTCGGCAAGGACATTACACTAGCGAGGCCAGAGCGATAGACTTGAGCATCGTACCCGTGCGCCTTTCTCCCCGTTGGCCCCTGGGGACCCGGGAAATCCAGTGGAACCCTGCAAAGAAGAAAACAAGAACCATGAACTTGGTAGCTGACATTTAACCACAAGCGGGAATCTTGGGGAACACAGTGCTTCTCACAAGCTGGTCATATTTCAATGGAAAGTGATCCTTAATGTGCATACAAGCTCCACCCATGTATTTAAGGACAAACTTACAGGGGCGTCGGCAATCCTGAGGGCATTGGAAGCTTGAACAGATAAAACAGATTTTCAGTTTTTTACTTTTGGTAAAATCATGAATCAAATATGTCATTTCTCATATTAGAAAAGACCAACTACAGACAATGGGCAATTTATAGTCAGTAAATGATTAACGTCTAACTCTTCATACTTGCTTCAACTCTGAAGAAGAATCCTATGTTTCAATATTAATAATCAAATATTAAGATGAGCACTTTATACTATATTGTCCTGAAGTAACACTCTGGGATGAGTCTACACAGCACTCTTCATTGAATGATTTCATGCCTTTAGAACTGGGTCAAGTCACAGACACCGAAATCTCCCTCCACCTTGCCTGTGTGATGTCTGGCTGGTCAGAACTAGCTGAGCTCTAAGGCAGGCGGGCCAGCGTCACAGTCCTGCTCTGGGAATTTCAAAGGCATAAATTCAAGACTTGTCTTTATCATGTATTCACCTAAGTACCTTGGGAGCGTTACTCATTCTCCTTGAACAGAGTTGTTGTTTTCTCTTCTGCGAAATGAGGCCAGGCAACAGCTTACAGGTACCAGGGAATTTGGGGGAGATCGGGATCAAGGAAGGCAGGGTGTAAAACTGACAATGAGCCCGGCCGAGGTGGCTCAGTGGTAGAGCGTCTACCTATGAACCAGGAGGTCACTGTTCAATTCCCGGTCAGGGCACATGCCCGGGTTATGGGCTCCATCCCCAGTAGGGGGTGTGCAGAAGGCAGCTGATCAATGATTCTCTCTCATCATTGATGTTTCTCTCTCTCCTCTCCTTTCCTCTCTGAAATACATTATATATATATATTAAAAATGACAATGACAGCAATAAATGGCTAAAGATGTAATACACACAGTCAAAGTGTTATGTCATTTCCTCTACAAACAGCCACATTTTAGAAATGAACTGCACCCTAGTTCCCCATTTCTCCCTGGGCACATACATGTCCAGACTTCCATCTGCTCAGAGATTCCTGTGAGCTCGACTGTGGCTGTGGCCTCGGTACTGTCTCATGAAATAGAGCAGATTAGGGTTCCAGTCCGTGCTGTTCAACTTGCTAATGATCAGAACGGGGGCGGGGTAGAGGGCGAGCTCCCCAAGACTCACTGTTCCCATTTGGACCATCGTGGGAATTAAATGCAACAACGATGAAATGCCCATCGAAGAGCAGAAGGCAGTCCTGTTGACACGTGTCCCAGGCACAAACAGAAATATAATGAGCCTTCTTTGACTGGAAGACACTTTTTGCTTTTTTTTATCCGCTCATTTGGACTGAATTACCCCTGACTGTTTCTCCACGTGGTAAAAGGCTGCTCTGTGTCAAAAAAACCTGGAGCGATTGCCGACATCCAGATCGCCAGGTCCCTCTCGGACCTTTGACTCAGGAATCCGCATTATTAACAGTTTCTCCAGGTCACACGTGCAGAATGGAGGCTGTCAATTCCCATTTCCTCCCCAAGTCAGGAAAGCGTGCAAAGCCTGTGGCAGCTGATGGTCAGAGCACTAACCCAAACCCGTTTCCCACTAGATCTGACGCCCACAGACGACTATGTCCGACCCTAGGACAAGCGCTAGGACGCCTAATGTTCACAGCATGGGGGAGAGGTCTGCAAATTACATTTTTGAAGGCTTTCAAAGCCTCTTTTCTTTCTCTACAGAGAATCAGATAGTTGTGTCTGGTGCAGTATTACTTTGTGATACGCTGGGAATTTGATAAGCGAGAATAACTGAATATGGAAATAATTTACTTCTATCAGATTTTATTTAGGGACAAATATTCACTGCTGTCCCGAGTGGCATGGATAGGTAACACATTTAGAGAAACTCCACTAAAACAAATGGCTCTTATGCATCAATTTCATTTTTGATAAATTTATTTTCTTATATAGCTTCTGCTCTAAGAAATGTATGGGAAACAGACAAAAATGTCCAAGCTAACAACTGGGCAGTTTGTACTAAATCATTCTTTTCTTTCTCACGGAAGGAATTATCACCAAATATGTAAGTTCCACACAGAAGCATCATCTGCTTTTCAATAGAAAAAGCAAACAGCAAGCAAAAGGTCAAAAGTCAAAGGTTAATGGCATAAAAGGCTCAGTCAGTGTGAAATATAAAAATTGTTTTAAACGCTGTTTTAACTATCAAAGTGTCCTGTCTTAAAATAGATGTTACTTTTTGAAATAGCTACCTATCACTTTATGGTACACAGGATGGGTGCATCTTTTAATACCCACCAAGATTTTGCTAGTAAGATACTGGATACATTATATTGTCTAATTATAGTCTTTAAATTGCTTGAAGAATTTCAGCAGCCAATTTTCACTTTTAATACAAAAAAGATTTAAATCTATTTAAAATTCACTGGCTTCCACATAGGAAAGTTATCTTTGAAGTTATCTTTGATCTTGGATGTGCCAATCATTTTTTATTGTAGAACTGAGAAACATAAATGGTTTCTGAGCATAGAATAAAATGTATGAAGAAAAGTTATAGAAAATAATAAAGACTAAAATTTCAAACATTTAAGCTAGAGAGTCTCATGTGTATTTAACAACCTTAATATAAAGGAAAATGTTTGATTCTGCTAGAAAGAAACACTTCTCTAGTCATGCTGAAGCATTTTGCTAATACTAATAATAAACCCCAAACTCAAAGAATATTGAACAGAGAATTGACCTGTGAAAAACAGCAAAACATAAGAATGTCAAACTCATAAAAGGAAATTCAAATAACATGACAGTTTTGTGTTTTTAAACCAAAGCACCAGCATAACTGAAATTCACCCTTCTAATTAGATCAGTAATTCTGGGAGTAACCTGAGGAGAGCTGAACCCCAGGGCTGTGCCAGGAATGTCTTCTCTCACTCCTAGCACTTGTGAGAAATGCTGGCATTTGAAAAGCAGGTACCTGAGAGGCAGGACAGGGGAGCAGGGATGGTAGTTAATGGGAAAATTCCTGATCAGTGCTTGAAACACAGCCACAGACAGTGAATGATGCCTGGATTATTTTAAAATCAGAGCCATAGGACTCTTACTTTACCAGGCTCAAAGGCTCATGTTCACCTCCTACTACAGAGGAAATAGGAATTATCCTATATAATAAAAGAGAAACATGTAAATTGGCCGTCCCTCCACTACACTCACCAGCCAATCAGGAGTGACTATGCAAATTAACCCGACAAAGATGGCGGGTCAATTTGCATGCACAGGCGCCAGGCGGAGAGCAGAGCGGGAGAGCCGGCGGAAAGTGGAGTGGCTTGGGGAACTTGGCTCCCCAAGCTGCCAGATGGAGAGCAGAGAGGGAGAGCTGGCGGCTTGGAGGACTTGGCAGAGTGGAAGGCCATGGGATGGCGGAGTCAGAGCAGGAAGGGAAAACCAAGAGCTCGGGGAGCACCAGGAATGCTGGGAATTGTAGTTCTGGTGGCAGATGGATCTCCTAGACCAGTGGTTCTCAACCTGTGGGTCGTGACCCCTTTGGGGGTCTAATGACCCTTTCACAGGGGTTGCCTAAGACCATCAGAAAACACATATATAATTACATATTGTTTTTGTGATTAATCACTATGCTTTAATTATGTTCAATTTGTAACAATGAAATTAGGGGTCACCACAACATGAGGAACTGTATTAAAGGGTCGCGGCATTAGGAAGGTTGAGAACCACTGTCCTAGACACTAGAGCAAAGTGAGCCTGGAGCAAGTTACTGTTGTGGTGGGGGATGGAGGGAAAGCAAAGGTGAGAGACATAAGTAAAATCAGAGTATCTAGGAAAAATTAAAGGGAAGATATCCTAAAACTTCCAGGAAATCTCCACCAATGAAGCAAAGAAAAAAAAAAAGCCTCTATTATTCTGTGAGCAACAAACCAAACTGAGTTGAGGTCTCAGACAATTCGCTCATATGATTGCAAAGACAGACAGAAACTCCTAGATTGGAGAGGGCTCTCCTGAGGGCTCCCAGATTGGAGAGGATGCAGGTCAGGCTGAGGGACTCCCACACCCCCCAGTGCACAAATGCCGTGCACTGGGCCTCTAGTAATATGTATAATATGTATTTTCTAGAAAATAATTTTTCTAGGAAAATTACAAGACCACACAGTAAACCTCAAATAGTGCTGTCACATGACGACGAGTGCCTGTTTTCACATTTGTGAGGGGAAAGGACATTTCCCTCTCCCACTGATTATTTGTGAAGCTTATTAATAGATACATGTTTGGGGATTGTTATATAATTAGGATTTATTTCTACCTACTATACCTGTCAAGCCTGAATGGTCAAACAGAGATGGATGGTAGATAGACAGATAGATAATCTCATGGGTATTTAACAACCTTAATATCAATAACAAGAATTTATATATTAACTCGTTTAACCACTTGACTATATCTAGTCAATGCAACAAGTGCAGCCGTAACGACGTTCTATAAATTAGCTTGAGAAAAATTAGTGCACCACGGTAAACATGTATTTTTAAAACCATCTATGTTTATCCATAACATACATATACTTCAATTAGAAAAATATAGCATTTAGGTGGTGTAGGGGGTTGAATGGTGCCCCACCCCCCAAGATATTTTGACATTTTGCCATGGAAGCATGGAACAGACAGACAAATCTCAGAGGGAAGGGGGGGGGAGGCAGGAAGAGATTAACCAAAGATCGTACATACATGTGTGCATAGCCCCTGGGCACAGACAAGAGGGTGGAGAAGGCCTGGGGGGGGGTGCGGGGTGGAGGAGATCAATGACAGGGGAAGGGGGGGACATCTGTAAAACTTTCAACAATACAGATAACCTTAAAATAGTAATAAATGCATTAGGTAAAGTAGATAGGCTTACAAAGGGAAACAACTGCACTGAAATAGTTATCAAAAATTTTTTTTAAATTATGATATGGCAATCTATGTGCATCTTTGATAACACACTTTAAATTATAAGATCTAACAGGTCTAATAATTAATAATTTTGAATGAGTGGAAGTGAAATTTCAAGATACTATCATATTATATGCCCCCCCCCCAAAAAAAATAAAGGTAAACAATCTTAACTGTTTCTACAAAATGTTAGTAAATAAACTCTAAAAACCAAGCTAATTACTTTACCTTTGGACCTTGTCTTCCTGGGTACCCGGGCAATCCTGGAACACCAAGTTTCCCCTAAAGTTAAAAAAAAAAATTCTAGGTTGAATTAAGCTAAAATGATCATTTTAGTCATTTTTCTAGAAGGACCACATATTTGTCACTAGAAAGAAAGATCTGCAAGTTTCTGCCACACTTTCACTCTCTGTCTTCATCTGAAGAGGAAAAAGGATGCTTCAGACACGTTTCCAATGTGCCCATGGTCACGCCCTCCCCCTGTGCTGCCTGAGTGACAGGGCCTCTCTGGGACACAGAGCCCGACTATGTGAGGGCTGGGAGCCTTGGTGAGCTGTTACCCGGAGTAAAGAAAACACCTAAGCTCCCCAGCATTCCATGTCACCGAAAGTTAGGTGATGTCGATTAGAAAGTTCATCCTTTTGATAAAAGTAGTTCAGTTCTCGCTGTAAATATAAAGCCAGCGTTCACAAGTTCTTTACCCTTTTTTCACTGAGTAAGTAAAGTTAAATAACTATATTAAGAAATTCTGCCCCAATTTTGAGCAGTTTCTTCTTTTTTTCTCTCAAGTATCTGCATCAATAAATATACATAGGTTGCAAGTTATGGCTAAGTAATGATTTCTGTGGAGTGTTAACTCCTGCAGGTGGTCGCCTGTATATGCAACTATGTTGTTCTCATGCAATGAGATTACATCTCCATGTAAAAAGTGCTAAAACCAACAGATAAGTAACAGTGGTGTCCAAAGATGTGTTACAAATACTTGGAGGGTGAAAATGCTATACTAACAAAAAATGGCCTCCCTGGAAAACCATCAACTTAAAAATCATAGATGGAGAGGAAACTAAATTAAATAGATGAATAAAAGGTGTCTGTGGAATTTTACTGTGATTCATTTTTCTTAAGATCTTATGAAAGGGCACTTTATAAAATATGTGCCAAAATCTTAAACATTAGACGCACATAGTATCAGTCTTTCATATGTACATTTAGACAAAATAAAAACAAGTCCAAGTTACTACGTCCTACGTTAAAAGATGAGCAGTACTTAATGAATGGGGTATTTTACTAGATGAATCCAGGTAAAAAATTAGGATTATAGTTCTGACCTTTCCATTATAGACTGAACTAAAGAGTGGTCTGACTTCAGGTCAGCCCTGCACAGATGGACAATAGGCAGACAAGCCCTGAGGGCTCTCGGCGATGTTTGCAGAGAATAAAATCACCTAGCAACGCGTTCCTGTCGCTAAGCGGCTCACAACTATGTATGGATGTGCTTGAATTTAACAGGATCCTCTAGATTCCCCACATGGATCATTAAAAGCACTTGTCAGTGACACGGAGCATTTTCTTCAAGGGCATCTGTGGACGGAGAGTTGCTCACTGACCTTCTCTCCTGCTTGACCGGAAGGACCGGGGTCCCCAGTGGGACCTGCTCGGCCTTTGGGGCCTTCAGGGCCATCTTCTCCTCTCGGACCTAATTGACCAACTTCTCCCTGAAACGCAGAGTAACAGCATTTTTGAAACTTAAAATAGATTGGAGATTGAATGGCTGAGATTATCGCCTATCAGAACGTCATGTTCTTCACCTCCTGGCCTGTTTGCTCATGTTTTATCTATGACAACGAGGCTTGAACGTGTTGGATGTTAATTAACAAACAACTGATATAGTTTGACACTGGACAACCTACAGTAGCCCATGCTACTATGCATCATATTAAATTAATTTTAATGCATCTGTGTTGCAGAATGAAAGAGAGAGAGAAATAAGAATCAAGATTAGATAATAATAGGGTGGCAGGAGATGCCAGCCCCATTATGCCACTTTGTCATCACAATTATTTTGACCTAAAGGCAATTGAGAAGCTGATATATGCAATAAAAGATGGTATGCCATACAACGGTACACTTGAAACCTATATGATGTTTTAACCAGTTTTCCCCTAATAAGTTTCATTTTTTAAAAAATTCTCTGCCTGCTCCTTAATTGCCTAAAATAAAGCCTTAAATTTGCAAAGGCGTCCTTCCTCCCCTTACAACCAGAAAGGACAGGAGGCAATCACTGGAGACAATGAGTCCTTTATGACCTGGAGCCAGAAGCAGACAGGAGGGGTTTCTACAACACATTTTACTAAAGAGCCGTTCGTGTCCCTTTTATGTGCTTCCAACTATCTGCAGTCCCAGGAACTCAACGTCCTCTTCCTGTGTCTCCTCACGTCTCTAAAAATGTATTGTTCCTTTTCTAAATGCTATCTAAGCCAAAGTTCCAACCACCCCTTTGAGCTACTACTAGTCATCACTGAGTGCTCCCAGGTGTAAACATGATGCACCAGCTAGCAAACTTCTTATTTTCTCTTGCTAATCCCTCTACTGTCAGTCTGATTTTAAAGGGCTCCAGCCAGAGAACCTAGCAGGATAGTAGAAAAAAATACTTGTTCCTCTCTGACAATAGCAACTTTGGAAATCACTGTGTGGAATATTTTAAGAAGTTCTCCATCTTAGACGTGGTTTTCATCTGCACTAGGTACTAGGATATGAAAGGTGTAGCCACCATCCTGGGAACAGGCTTTATATGAACTTTAGGGAACCAAATGTTCTACAGTTTGCTTCTTTTTCAGATTGATTAGCTACTATTATGTTAGTTATTAAATAAATCTTCCCAATAAAATGTTAATTTACTTCAGGCGACTCACATTTTTGTTTGTTTTCTAGACACTCATTACCAGAAAAAAGGCTTTTTTTTTAGTCAAAAATTCAAAACCACCATATAATACAAATTCATACAAGTTGCAGGTATATAGGTTCCAGGCAGCATAGCTCACTACATACAACTAAATTGAGAAGAAATCCATTATGTTACTTCTTTCAAGCAATTTTATCATCGATTTTTTAAAATGTCTATAAATATGGAAATTTAATAGAACACCCAAAAGACAATTGATTATATTATCTTCACAAAGATTAAAACACCTAACTTTTATATAAAAACCAAGTGAGTAATATCTTGTGTAATACAAACATTTTTATTTATCCTGTGCTGGCACTTCCAATATTTAAATAAAAGAGTATGCACACACTCACACACACACAGACAGACACTCACACACTCATGCACATAATTGTATGTACTAGTGGAAATTTTCTTTTCACTTACTCTGTCACCTTTAAGACCCATGTCACCTTTGAATCCTGGGAAACCATCTTCACCCTAAAATACAAGTAATAAAACAGGTGTTTGAATATAAAATATGGCTAAGTACAATGTAAATACTGATAATTAGGGAAAATTCTTCTGAGAAATGTGCATCCTAGTTGTAAAACTTCCTCCTCCCTATTCTAACCCTATGCCCAGTATCCTTCCATTTTCCCATAATTAATAAAATCATCAAATAATTTTCTAAGATAATAAAATACATAAAATAATTTTTAAATTTTGGAAATATTTTACAAATGTGTCCATTAAATTTTCTCTATCTAATGGAGGATATAACCATTCTCTATGACAACATGTATTCTGTGCTACTTGAAGAAAAAGTAAATATTTATATAATTATCATTTAAAAACTATGGATTATCAAAAACAATGTCTTTACCCTCCATTTCTAATTTATACTGAATAATTCCGTATCGTGCATTTTGTAGCACGAGCTTTAGACAAATGCTTTCCAGCTCAACTTGTTCTCTAATCGCCTCTTTTCAGGTGGAGAGTAAGCAAATCAATATTCCCCTTTATCTGTAAACACAGATTGCTCACTGACGCATCATCTGCACAGGCCAGTGTTGCTGAAATGCGGGCACCCTTTAGCCAAGACGGGAGAAATTTTGGCTATAAAAATATGTCCTACCATTCTTTAGTGAACTGCAAACTTTTAAGAAGCATCACAACCTAATCCTCTCCTAATTTCAGGAAAAAGATTAAATTCTGAACGAATCATTATTCATATATTTAAAACATTAATTGAGCAATTACTCCTTTCAGAGTACTATGGAGTATTTTGACGTTTTTATTTTACCAATAAAACGAAGGTAGAATATTTGGGCTAATTTTGGTACAGATGGAGTAAAATGGTTGTTTGGAGAAAAGATGTGCGGGTGAAGATGATGATGATGATGATGATGATGGTGAAGATGATGATGATGGTGGTGGTGGTGGTGGTGGTGAAGATGATGGTGGTGGTGGTGGTGGTGGTTTTGTTACAGGATCCCAGGGCAGGAGGAACAGGGAAACTGAGACGGGAAAGTTCAAACAAGGCCAAACAGCCTGGGGAATGTGCAGCCAGCTTGTAGCTAACCAGCCATTACCTTCCAGCCAAGGCCACTGAGCAAATGGTTAAAAGCCTCCCTAAGGAGAGAATGCAGAGAGGGAGAGGGGAGGGGGGAGGGGGAAAAGCATTTTTACTCCCTGAGAGAAGCCAGCAGCCTCAGGTTTGGCAAGATAGAGTTGCCAGGTGCTTCTCATGAGTTCTGGAAAGCCACAGCAAAGTTATAAAAAAG